TCGAGAGCTGCCCGTGCGTGCTCCATCCCCAAACATGAGACACACATCTCATGAGAATCTCCATCCGTGATGTACGGAGGGCAAGAAAAAACACACCTTCTGTACATCTGGTTGCCGGACATGCTGGTAGACTTCTTCTTCAGGTAAGACACACTGCTTGTAGGACTGGAGCTTTCTTCAAACAACATACAGAGCGCCTGCTGAATAAAAAAAAGCTAATGATGAGTGTGTACAGGTGTGCTTTATACTCCTCCGGTTATTCCGTCACACCTTACCGTTCTAGCAACAGGCCAATAGGATTGGAGTGATTTCATTCACGTTCAGACCTGCTTCGCCTAGAGGCGTTCCCATAGTGTCGTAACCGACGCAGTTCGAGTTCCCTCGAAGGGGAACTCAATGAAACACTGGTGCATTTATTTTGGTCTTGCCCACATACCAAGAAACTTTGGAGTTTCTCAATTTATTGTTGTCCATATTTACCCTCAATTTGCATTGCGGTGGGAAGATGTAATGTTCAGTAAACATGACAAAAAATTAAATTCAGAATATTGTGACTGTTAAATCATATGACCTCTGCAAGCTTTACAAGATATTTATTTAAATTTTTTTTTTGCTTTTGTTAAAATTATACTTTCCTTTCCATAACCCTTGACCTCCCTGGTCTATTTGTGATATGTCCATAGACTTTACCGATGTACAGAAGATGTTGTTTTCCTGCTGTATATCCTAATTTTGAAAAAAGTAAAAAAAAAAAAAAAAAAAAAAGAGTTGTTAAATAAAAATTATATATTATTAATATAGTATATTTATACTATAATTCCTGCAAATACTTATTTATAATAGTCTAATGATAATAATAAGGCAATGTTTCAATTCATACCACTGTTGTATATTTTATTTCTTCCAAGGGATTTTAAGTTTCACAAGCCAAGAATATTCTGTAATGTTACATCACGAGCCAGATGTGTCTCGATTTAGGTTCAAACTTAACATTACTGAGAATTTCTTGACAGAATAACAGCGGTACGAACATTATCAGCTGTTGCTGGACAGTCTGCTGTGTTGGCTGCAGTGGTCTGTGTGACTGAGCCTGGGGGAGCTAACCGGAGCTAGCTAGCTATTCCTGACAGTATATTCCTCTTACCCCAACCAGGGTGTGCCTAAAGTTATTGATTATATGCAGGTCGACCGGTTAACCCTACAGATAGATCTCGACTAAAAACTTCTCAGAAGAGTATTTAAAGCTCTGTTGTTGGCCTCTAAAGAATAAAACGGTTTGCATTAGGATCTATCATGTACGTAAGCCGAGATGAACGTCATCACGTTTTGTGCGCAGTGTCTTCTGGGACAAACCACATTTGGAAGTTCAACTTCCGTCACGGCCTGCAGGCTGCAGCTGGATGTACTTGGGCTGTGCTGCAGGTTTGTCCGGTGTGAACTCACACTGAAGTGTTTCAGCAGCGGAGCGTTTAGCTGCCCCGTGTTGTTAACGTGGTGTTAATCTGTCATCTTGTGTGCTTCAGCTACAGATAGCACCTCTCTGAGAGCCATATACCACACGGAGAATTTCACAATAAGAGCGTTTTGCCTGCCTGATTTTGCTGACTTGTTCAGATTTTGCTTATTTGTTCAGTTGTCCTTGATGTTTGTGCTTCTACTCTGGTTCAGTAGCGTCGTAGTGAAACTGTTTCTTTTTGTCTGTTTTAACCAGTGCCAGTCTCACTCTTTTGACTCGAGTCACCAAATCTCGTTCATTAAAATTAACTCTAATCTTTTTTTGTGTCATTTCGTTCATTTTAACCAGGCTGGTTATTGCGGCGCTGCAGCCCTCTAGTGGGCGATTTAAAAAACAGCGCAGTTCTCAAACACAGAAGGCTGCCTGGCTCGCTGTAATTCACAAAGTATAAAGCACAAATTCACCTCTTGATGTTTCTCTATCATGGTTAAAATGTTGCTAATACCTTTGCAGTAGCACAGACTATCCCTAATAAGTTTACATTTGCTTATAAAAAACTTTTCACGAACAGCAGTAGCAGCAATTGTTCAGCCAAAGTTCATGGACTCTGAAACTAGATGCTTCAAGGAAAGTGTAGAAACAACTTGGCCACGTTAATGGCAGCTATCACTGTTTCCGCTGGTCTGCTTTGAACTTGTTTATACACTAAAACTACATCACACCCACAAACCGAACACACCGCCATGCCCACATACACATCAAATGGTTAAACACGCAGCACAAGGCCTATTCTGACAAGACAAGGGCCTGGAAAACTCACATCAAAACTTAATACGATGTCAAAATCTTATGAACAAGGTTGTATTATGTTTTGTTCAGTTAATAGTCTAAATAATCTGTACATTAAAAGTTTGTGCACTTTAACTACAGCACTTCAAGTTAGTGTATTTGCTGCACATTACAAGGCTGTGGCTCCATCTAGTGGATGAAATCTGCAATAGTCTTTCCTTCCAGAAACTTTGTTAGCTTTGGACCAGGGCCCGTATTTATCAAGCTTCTCAGAATTACTCATAAGAACGCTGCTAAGAACCGACTTAAGAGTAAAAACATTCTTGGCTCAAAGCTTAAAAGTTAGTGATCAAGCATCATAGTCCTAATTTGAGTGAAGTGTAGGACTAAATCTTAAGTGTCAGTCTCAGTGCTGATTCACGACACTTTGCTGCGCCGCTAACAGGATTTTGGATGACGATGTAGCCGAGGACCAATCACTGAAGAGATTTCCTTCTTTATATTCTGGTGAAATTCCTCAGAGGAGTTTATATTTAACAATAAAGGTTTTTCAAGATAATACATTATGATATAGGCCTTCACATTAATAAATGAAAGATTAAAAAGTGTCTCTTTATATGAGCGCCATCAAATGCGCCTATAGTGCTCCTGTATTGCTATTCGCATGAACTGTGTTTGCGTCTGTGGGATTACGGGGGGGTTGTTGGGAAGTCGATGAAACGTGACAGTGTGTGGAGCTGTAAGTGCTAAAATTGTTTCCACAGCTATTGTTGATGGTTGTGACGGGCCAAAATCATCAGCATTGCTGCGGCAAATAAACGAAGCGTCTGTTGGGCTTCTGTAAATATCATCACAGAGTACGGTCTAGACCTGCTCTTTTATGAAAAGCGCTGTGAGATAACTGTTGTTGTGATTTGGCGCTATATAAATAAAATTGAAAATTGAATTGAATCACCACCTTCAGTTTAACTGAAAACGCATTATTGCGTAAAGTCAGTGATGAGATGACGTCCCTCACCAACTCGCTGACAAAGATTCTGCCTGCGCTGTCTGACTCAGTCTTATTAACTGCGCGTCGTCAGAATCCTTCCTCTCCTCTCCGCATGTCTCTGTCTCCACAGCGCCATCACAAGCCCTACTGGCAGCTCCTGACCGCCTGAGACCTCTCGAGCTGGCTTAAATAACTAAGAGTGAATCTTAGCTTTGAGAAATTTGATTCTTCAGTTTAAAAGTAGGAGGAAATTTCATGAAATCTCAGCACTTCAGACTGAAATGACTCTTTGAGAAGCTTGATAAATACGGCCCTGGTCTTTTATTAGGCTGCAAAAACTCAATTAATTGTGGGGTTTACCTACTAAAATATAACATGGAGTGTGTTTTTACATTTATTTGTTAATAGACTATAGCTACAACTTCAACAATATGATGATGTAATGTTTGTAATTTAATTGACCATGAAATGAAGCTACACTGTTGCATTATAGATATCAGAGACAACTTGAAGTTCAAGCCTCCCATCCTTCATTTATTGACTGGGATAATATATCTGTTCCCATATTTGATGCAGCCATAAATGTTTTGTTTTCAAATGTTAACCATTTTAAAAAGACAGTGAGAGGCAGTTTAACTGGCAGAGGGGCGGCGCTGCAAATTAAAACATGAGCATCAGAACAGCATCAAACTTTACTAAAGTCAGTAACACAGCTCTAATGCTTGAAGGATTCATTTATAAGTAACTGTAGGCCTAATACAACCATTTTCACATTGTGGGGAAGTGAAGCATTAACGTTATCTTCTTCAGTGGAATTTTATAGGACAAAATAACAGTGAATCCAAACAATAAAGCACAACACAGGCTGTGAACTGTAGGCTACTCCAGAGTTCCCAGTCGCCACGAGAATAAAAGCATTTAACACAGGCTGTACAAAACATGACTTGAATTCACTCAATAAAGTTAAAATAAAGTTACACTGACAATGGAGACTGGTGAAGACGGCAGGGTAGACTGCTCCTTCTCCTTCTCCTGGTGATCCTCGCTCTGACACTGTCCACTCGCCATAGAAGAGCTTCTCTTGTCCCTCGTCTCTCTCCGCCGACAGAGAGCAGGCAGAAGAGAAGGGGAACAGGTGAGCGTCACCAACCTGACCTGGAGAGGGCAGAGGAGAGGACCGGCAGCTCGGAGAAGTCCCGGTACGCAAGAAAATGTCCCGGTACGCCAAAGAGTAAAATGTGGAGGAGCCAGTACTGCGTCCCGGGGCGTTCCGGCCCACTTCAAGCTCTGGTTTTAACTGTGTTTATTGTTGATATGCCATCAGGAGTCTGCACAGGGTCTTTTATTTTGAAAATCCACCGGATTCTCTCTGCCGTTCTGTGTCTGACTTCCTACCTGGTTCATCTGCTCTGTGCTGCAACTTAATACTGCAGTTTTTCCCTTGGTAATACTGCAGATATGTAAATACTGCAGTACTTTGATCAGTGGGCCACAGGCTCAGTCAGCACTGTGTTACCTCATTAGACGATAGACAGTGACTGAACAGACATTTATTTAATGAAAACCTTCAGATTCTAACTTTAATAAAGATTTGATTGAGTCCATCTGACAATAATACTCAGTGATTTAATAAACAGTCAGTTGTGCTGTTGATTGTAGAGACACCAAAGACAACACTGTCTCTGTTAGATGGAACAATGGGACATATTTCAGAGTTCCTGCTGCTGTCTGTACAGCTGATGTTGTGCTTTGTTGTCCTCTCAGTCTACAAGGTGGAGGTGGATTCAGGGTGGAGTCTGTCCTGCTGCCCTGCAAAACCACAGTTCACCTGCCTGAAGACGTCACAGTGGAGTGGAGGGACAGTTTCTACAGGAAGGTCCACGTATATAAGAACGGCTCTGACCAGCCTGAAGAACAGATCAGTTTTTACAGAGACCGAACAGAGATGAAGAGAAACCTGCAGAGACCTGGAGACCTCAGTCTGACCCTGAAATACCCCACAGATGAAGACAGTAACACCTACACCTGCACCGTCTACAGCAGGGAGAGAGACATCCTGATGAAGAAACAAGTGAAGCTCAAGGTCAAAGGTCAGTGCTGTAGCCTAAATAGTGAGCGTTGCGTCTCCTTCACTCTAGTGAAGAACTTTGTGTGTGGCTGTGACATGAGGTTACTGTCTGTGCAAACACATGAAACACGACACAGTGCAGCTGCTCGGCCCCAGTTACTGGTCAGGGAAGCGAAAACCAAATGGCCTGTTTCAGTCCCCAGCTGATCAATCTGCACATCTCTAGCTGTAGAAGGTGACTTACAGTCCAACAAGCTGGTAAACAAGCTAGCTGATGTTATAACATCGTGGGCTCATGGAAAAATGATCAGTTATCAGGATTAATTTCTTAATGACTCAGCATCATCTGTATTAAAGACTAAAGAATGAGTTCATCTGATGTTTAAAGTGAATAAAACAGCCCTGCCAGTCTGCTTAACATTACTGCAGTTTCACAACTACTGAAGGATCAAACTGGTTTTCTGCCACCGGACTCCTGAGAGGGAAAGCAGGCAGAGGACCAAACCACTGTGAGGCAAGAGAGGGGGACTCAAAATGTTTCGAAACTTAAAACACACTTTTACTGCCCTGTGTGTGTTTCTATTGTTTTACTACTTACACAGTTATTCTAAGTATATATCATTATATTATTTAATGGTTTTTAGAGGGGGGCACCCCTCAGATAAGGGGGTCCTGACCCCCCCGCGATTTCAGTACAATTTTCAAAGAAAGGTCAGAGTATCATTTCAAACCCCTATAAGGTCCAGAATTGTTGGAAGTCCCTGACAAAACTGTTTCAACAATAACTTACTGGGAAATAGTCTGTTTATTCAATTCGTCAGGAGATCTGTTAGATCTACCGTTTAATATGTTTGAGCTAAGAAGAGCAATTACGAGTGCTCGTCAGACCACTCCAGGGAAAGATGCTGTATGTTATGGAATGATGGCACACATGACCGAAGCACTGGACACGGTGTTGGGATTGTTTAATAAAGTCTGGGATATTGGCCAACTTCCTTTAGCTTGGAATCAAGCAATAATAAGATCAGACCCTTCTAGTTACAGACCTATTGCATTAACCTCACACTTCTGCAAAATTATGGAACGAATGGTCACTGAGCGTTTAACATATTTCCTAGAGAGCAAAGCTCTTCTGTACCCGTACCAAAGTGGGTTCAGTAGGGGTCGAATACAAAGGATTCAGTGTTGTGCTTAGAGTCAGACATCAGGAAAGAACAAACCAACAAAGAAATACTGATAGCTGTATTTTTGATGTTGAATAAGCATTTGATATACTCTGGAAAGAAGGGTTATGTATTAAGTTGAAGTCATTGGGTATTGGTGGTAGAACATATAATTGGGTTATGAACTTTTTATTTGTTTCCTTATCCTTCAGTGGAACGCCAGAAGCCTGAATGCAAACGCACAAGAATTTAAGAGAAATGTGCAACAGCTAAATGTAAAGCCTGACGTTATCTGTATTCAAGAAACATGGCTGAAAGCACATCTGGATTTTAATATCAGAGGGTAGAAAGTTATAAGGCAGGATGGAGACAATGGTCAGGAGGGGATGTGCCCCCTTTATTAACGAAGGTATATCTCATGGGAGAATAGAAATGAACCACAGTACTGATTTAGAGGTAGTAGTTACTGAGATTTGGGTGAATAGTTTTTGTTAATTTGTATAATCCTTGTAAAAGAATGAAGATTTACAAGAGTTTGATCAAGGACACAAAATAATATGGTGTGGGGATTTTAACACTCATAATACGCTATGGGGAGGGGAAAATACAGATTATAATGGATTGATTATAGAGGAATTAATTGAGGATAAAGGTTTGGTTTGTTTAAATAATAAACAAGGTACAAGGGTCAATCTAAGTAATGGAGTAGAGTCAGCGTTAGATCTGACATTGGTGTCCAGTGAAGTAGCTAGTGGCAGTAAACGGGAGGTGTGAAGTGATAATAGTATTGGAAGTGACCATTATCCAATAGGAATTAATTTAGAGGAAAATATCATGATTGACCTTGATGGGGTTACAAGATGGAAGTAAAGCAGACTGGAGTAAATTTGCTTGTGATGAGGAGTTTAATAGGATCGACATGTCAGGGGAAGTGGATGAAACAAATGAAAGTATTATCAAAGCTATAGGAAAGAGTGCTGGTAAAAGGAAAGTTAAAATGGCACCATGGTGGAACAAAGAAAGTTCTGAAGCCATCAAACATAGAAATAAAACTTAGAGAACTGAAAGAATTCATTCAATGTTGAATTTAGTGGATTATTAAAGGGCTCAGGCAGCAGTAAGGAAAGTAATCAAAAGGACAAACAAGATGTGTTGGAGAGAATTCTGTTCAACTATTGGAAGAACAACCCCACTAGATAAAGTTTGGGGAATGATTAAAAGAAGGAGGGGAATCAGGCAAGATAAGGATCTTCCAATGTTGAAGAAAGGGGAAGAAACTGCTTGTGAGAAGAAGAAAAGGCAGAAATGTTGGTAAAGAACTTTGTTAAAATTCATAGTTCAGAAGATTTGACAGAAGAAGGTAAAATCAGAAGACGGCAAACATTAGCTAGATACCCGGAGGTACTCGAGAACAGAAACTCTAATCAGAGTCCTCTAGATGAGGCCTTTACCGTGCCTGAGCTGAGGAGGGCTCTGAGTAAGAGTAAAAGAACGACACCTGCTAAAGACAATATGAGCTTTACTATGATAGAACATTTAAATGCTTCTGCATTGGGTAAATTACTGGAGTTATTGAACAAGGTTTGGGAGGAGGGGAAGCTTCCAGTAGGGTGGAAAGAAGCAATTATTATTCAGATTAAGAAACCTGGGAAAGATCCTACAGATCCTGATCATTACAGACCGACAGCTTTAACTTCACATGTGTGTAAAACCATGGAGAAAATGATTCCAGAAAGAATAACATACTACTTAGAAAGAAATGAGCTTCTTTCAGCACTTCAGAGTGGATTTAGAAGGGGGCGTAGTACTCTGGACCCTTTAATATGTTTGGAAACTGATGTTAGGAAAGCTCAAGCTAATAAAGAGGGGGTGCTAGCTGTTTTCTTTGATATAGAGAAGGCGCAGGAGGTCTTTTAATACAGCGAGATAAAATGGGTATTGGAGGTAAAATGTAGAACTGGATCAAAGGTTTCTTATCTGGTAGCTACATTCAGGTTTGTGTGGGGAACTCTACATCAGATGCATTTTTAGCTGAAAATGGCAGCGCTCAGGGGAGCGTCATTAGTCCGCTACTGTTTTCAATCAGGATCAATGATGTTTATAAGAAGGTTCATCCAGACATTGGGAAATCACTTTCTGCTGATGATGGGGCAATTTGGAAACGAGGGAGGAATCTGGAGTATGTTGTAAAGAAAGTTCAGGAAGCTGTTAGTGTGGTTGAAGATTGGTCTTTGAATTGGAGATTTAAGTTTAATCAAACCATCTTTTTAAAAGAAAGGAAGTCAAAGAAGATATTTGTTTGAAATTGTCCAATCAAAGGTTAGAAAGAGTGGAAACCTTTAAATTCCTGCGGTTGTGGTTTGATATATTGCTTACGTGGAAAAATCATTTTGATGAGGTGGAAGATAAGTGTAAGAAAGTCCTGAATATTATGAGATGTTTAACAGGCAGTGTTTGCTAAGAAATATTTATATTGCATTAGTTAGATCAGTCCTAGAATATGGATGTATTGTTTCTGGATCAGCTGCTAGAACATCTTTAAAAAGGTTGGATAAAATTCAGGCCCATCATTGAGGTTATGCTGTGCAGCAGTAAAGTCAACACCAATATCAGCGCTTCAGCTGGAGGTTGGAGAAATGCCACTGATTCTAAGAAGGAAACAGCTGAGGGCCAATTATTGGGCTAATTTACAAAGTCAGAAGGACACACGTCCTACAAAAAGGATTATGAATGAAAGTTGGGAAAGCAGCCAAATGAAAAAGGAGGTATTTAGCAGTGTAATTCTGGATCTTACAAAGGAGTTAGGAATCAACGATTGGGTCGCTAGTCCAGCTGCTTTAATGCCAGCTGTTCCACCATGGTTATTACCTCAGCCTACAGTTGATCTTTCTCTGCTGAAACAGGTTCCTTCAAGTAAAAACATTGTAGATATGCAAGCTTATGTGAACACGACGCTGCATGAGAAATATGGGTATCACGTACATTTATTTAGGGACGGTTGTAAAAATCCAGAGAACGGAAAATCAAGCTGTGCTTTTTACATTCCTGAATTAAAAGTTAAGGCGTTTAAAAGATTAACCGATCATTTATCGGTGTCTGCAGCAGAAATGATGGCAGTCTTGTTAGCATCACAGTGGATAGAGGAAGTCAAACCATGAGAATGATAATTAGTTCAGATTCAAGCGCAGCTCTGGCCAGTCTCAAAAGTACAGCGTCAAAATGTAGGAGGAGATTATGTTTGAAATGTTGTTGTCTTTCATAATAAGGAGCAAATATTACAATTACTTAGATATGTATACAGACGCATCTAAAGATGAAGAGGACGAGGGAGGAATAGGAATATATATATAGCAACAATGAATGTAAGCGTTGGGAAAAGATGACCTGATCAGGCTTCAGTGTACACGGCAGAGATGATGGTGATTATTGTAGGACTGCGGTGGGTTGAGGAAGTAAAACCAGACAGAGGGGTGTGTTGTGTTGATTCTCTAGCAGCCCTTTATAGTATTCAAAATATGAAATCTGATAGAGAAGATCTAATGCTAGAAATCCAACAGAGTTTATTTAGATTCCAGACACTACGGATAGATGTGAGATTCTGCTGGGTACCTGCCCACGTAGGTATAAAAGGGAATGAGAGAGCAGACAAAACAGCTAAAGAATCAACCGGGACGAACGATGTCATAAATACAGCCCTTGGAAAAGGAGAAGCTGAGGCGATAATCAGAAAAGAAACCATGAAGAAATGGCAGGACGGCTGGGATGTGGATAAAAGTGGAAGGAAATATTACAGCTTGTAAAAATCTATTAATGCTCAGGGAACAGAAGAGAGGAGAGCGTTTTAACCAGGCTGAGGTTTGATCATACAGGCTTAAATAAAACATTGTTTTAATGGGCAAAAGTCAATCAGACGTAGGAAATACAGGGATGAGAGGATGAGGCTGAATCAAAAGATGAGTCAGGCAGGAAGGAAGTGAACCTTGAAGGTTTATTAGGCCCAACAGGAGACGGAGTAAAGGACACACAGAAAGCTGTAGCACAATATCTGAAAAATATAGAGATATCAGAGATAGTGAGAGCAGCTGATGTTGGGGAGGACAGACAAATGTGTTGTAAATTATTACTGATGCAGTCAGAAACTCTCCAACCTCTTTGCAACCTGCAGCTTTGGCTTTTTTATCCAGCGCCCAGCAAAGTAACTTTAAAAAATAAAAGGACCAATATTTCAGTGTAAAAATGCTCAGCAGGTGATCAGAAATGACGTCATAACAGGAAACCAGAATAATCCAGGAGATCATTTCCATGGATGGAAAGAATGAGATCAATAAGTTATTGATTTCCAGTATTGATCAAGAAGAAAGCTGAAAGAAACCAAATGTGTTGATCACTCAGAACAAAGAAATGCAGCTTTAATAGTTTGGATCAATGAAAGATTGATGATCAGTTCTCTTCACATCATGTTGAAGCCGTTTGGAAAGAAAAGTGGGCTCAGAGTCGGCAGAAGAAAAGGCCAAATATTGATGAAGCAGGAAGAGCAGTTTGGGATCAGATCCAGATCAGATGTTTGTGTGTCTCGGTGTTCTGGACTGATGTTGAACATGTGGAGCTGAGATTCATTTACAGAACAGAGATGAAAACATTTGAAAGCTTCTTCTCTTCAAAGTTCAGCTTTAGATCCAGAAATGTAAAAGTCCAGCAGCTCAACACTGACAGGAGACATTACTGTGAAGCAGCACATGGACAAAACAATCCCAGCAGCATCAAGACTCTGATCATCTCCAACAGCTTCCTGTGTTTCTGTCCCCTGTTAGCTGCTGCTCTCATCTGCTTCTGTCAATAAAGTTATTCAAACTGCTGCTGCTGTCTGTGCAGCTCATGTTCTGCTTTGTTGTCCTCTCAGTCTGTCAGGTGGAGGTGGAGGAGGGGGCGGAGTCTGTCCTGCTGCCCTGCAAGACCACAGACAACCTGCCTCAGGACGCTGAGTGAGTGGATCCACTATGATCCCTATGAGACGGTCCACGTGTATCAGAACGGCTCTGACCAGCCTGACCAACAGGACCAGGTTTACAGAGACCGAACAGAGATGAAGGAAGACCTGCTGAGAACTGGAGACCTCAGTCTGACCCTGAAATCCCCCACAGACAGAGACGGAGGACGATACAGGTGCTCGTCACCAGCAGAAACATCATGAGAGAAATCAGTTATCTCAGGGTCAAAGGTCAGTATGCAGACTGAGGTCAGAGTCTCTGTGTTTGTCTCTGTCTGACTGTCCTCTGTCTCCTCTGCAGAGAGAAGCAGGCTCCACTGATCCAACTCCTCTGATGGCCGATCAATCTGTTTGATCTTTGATCATTGATCCGATCTGACTCTGGATCAGAGAGAAAATGGAGGTGAAGCAGCTGATGGAGGACGGATGAAGACAGGAGGACGCTTTGTCAGCTTCTCTTCACTCTGACTCCTCCTACTGACTCTCACACACAGTCTACACACTCACTATTGATTCCTGCTGATCAGTGATGTCAGAGTGAGGTCAGCGTGATGTCACATGGCTTGAACGGGCGTGTTTCCTGTGAACCTCCCAGCGGCTGGATAACAGCTGCGGCTCTCTGGATATTTGTGGCTCGTTCTAATGCGTGCAGTCAAACAAACTTTATTTCTACAGACACAGAGAAGTCAGCAGCTGCAGGAAATCAGAACCACTGACAGGAAGTTAAGAGTCAAGTTAAACCACATGTCAGAACTTTCTACAGCAGCAGGATTTAGAAGATGCTGGAAGCTGCTGTCTTTAGATTTTGGACCCGTCACAATTTGTCACATTTTCTGAAGCCACAACAAATCTTGTTGAAAGGAAACAGTTGATTGAAGGTCCAGTTTCAAACGAAGAGTCAAAGCTTCTCTTTGTGTCGACTCCTTTAATGAGAACATTGAAAAGGACTCGAGTCCAAGTCTCAAGTGTCCAGCTCAGATTATTCCAGCACCAACCCTGGCAGGATGCAAGTTAAACAGAAAGCAACACATTTAGTGACAGAACAGAAAGCAGCCAGCTGTTAAAATGGACTCAGAGAATGAAGACACAATAAGATTTGATTCAGTCAGACTTTCACAAGAACAAAGGTTTGTTCAGCCTGAACACAAATGTGGTCTGTAGTGTTTTTGTAGTCCCTGTTTATTCAGCGCCTCTTCCTCCTCACTACACACTGGATCAAAGCACAGCAGTTAAACCCAGAGGCCTCCAGTGGACCTGGTTCAGGCCTCTGAAACATCTGGACTCTGTGATCTTTGTCTTCCAGCGTTGACATTTGGAGCAGGTATAAACAGACGTCACGTGATCTAGTTTGTTTGAAGCGTACCGAGTCCTTCAGACGTTGATCTCAGAACTCAGCAGAAACTCCACTTCTTTAGTCTCTTTCCTCCAGGTTCTGGTTTTTCTCGTCTCTCTGTTCATTCCTCAAAGATAAAGCTGGATTTTTCATTGAAGCTGAAACATTTCAGTAAATATGCCAGATTTAGCCAGAAGGCTGTTTTTCATCTGTAGTCAGTACAAGTCAACACAAAACAGACAACATAGTAAAACCAACCCAGGGACCAGTAGACTCCAGCACAATATACTAGCAGTCATTATGTTCCAGTACACAGGTCATGAACTGTTACCAGAGGAAATCAGAAGCTTACAGTAATCTGTTGGACTCAAAGATGTTATGTTATTAAAGTGCTGTTTATGCACTCAGATCTAATTCAATAATCTGGTTTCCTGCAGCGGTTTGAAGCCAAAATAAACATTTTGCTGTGATTTCATTTCAATAAACTGATCAAAATGATGCTGATTTGTTGAACATATGAATTCCTGCTCTGTCAGGTCTGTCTTCAAGATGACAAGCAAACATCTTTTAAAACGCTTGTTTTCTAAATGGAGTTCTGCTCAGTCAGGGCGATGCTATGCTAACTTGTTTCAAGTACGACGACGGCTGGAATCATCTATCAGACACAGATTCATTTTCAGACCTCACCAGGTAGTTCAGCTTCCCGCCTCTCTTTTCTCCCAGCATCCTCCTGTCTCGTCTGTAGAAATATGAACTAGTGGTCCACGCGGTCCTTGTGGTCCGGACCGGTTGCCGAGGGGTCCGTTGCTGGTCCAAAGCCACTGCACACCTCCTCTGTATAATAAAAGCTTTATTTGTAGAGCACTTTTCAACACGGGGAACAAAGAGCTTTAAAACAATCCATCTGTCAATAAAGGAAAATAAATGAGGCGTCACACAGTGAAAGCTTTTTGTAGAAATGTGTCTAAGAAGTGAGATGAAACCAGGAGCAGACTCTGAGCCTGTAGGGGCCCTGACAGCAGAGACCCTGTCCCCTTTGGCTTTGAGCCTAGACTTTGGAGCAGTTAGCAGAGCCCTACTAGAGGATCTCAGTCTGCGTCCTGGCTCATATGGGGATAAAAGCTCAGAGAAGGTGCGTGCCCATGTCTGGCCTTAAAAGTGATCAGAAGGATTTTAAAGTGCGTCCTAAAAGAAACAGGAAGCAGGACGCTCACACTGGGCTGATGTGCTCACATTTTCTGCAGCGAGCGGCAGCATTTTGGACCAACTGTAGGTGATGAACTGATTTCTGACTCAGACAGGTATATAGGGAGGATATCGGTCTGCGGCTGAAATGAAAGACTTCACCTCGGCCGCATTTCTCAAATGATAAAAACAGAACAAGCTTACATGAGGTTCAAAACACAAGTCCTAGTTTCTGGCCGAGCTTCTTGTTCGCTTGGGTTTGTCCTGATTTCAGAAAGGAACGAACATCACAGAGGAAGACGCAGAGATGTTGATCCTCACAGGTACGTGAATCTAAACTATAACGTGGTTCATGCTGAACTTGAGCGCTCACTCTTTCTACACATCCTGGCAGAGAACGCTGGTGAGCTCCCAGCATCCTCTCCTGTACCTACTGAACGTGAGCGTTAAAGCGACGAGCGCCAAGAAATTTACTTTACGCAGCGCCTGGATTCACTTTCTTCTCGTCTCTGTTCATTCAGGATAAAGGAGGATTTTTTATTGAAGCTGAAACATTAAAACTTGAGCTGACATGTCTTCACCTCAGCTGGAGCCAATGTGACAGATGGAAATAATGTGTTTTACCAGTAAGTCACAGCAAGCATTTGAGTAAGCAAAATAGAAAAACAGTTAACGGGTTCATATTTAGTCATTTTAAAGCCATCCTCATATTTTAATGGTTTATCATATGTTATGGTTAAAGTTGTTATTGTAAGTTGCAGCAGTCACAGAACAGTATTTTACTGTTATTTCTTATTTTTCATGTGCAAAATGTCATTCTAACAACAGCAGCAGTCAGTGTGAACAAGAGTGTTGTAGTTACTAGAGGGCTCCAGCAGGGGGAGCGTGAAACTGTTGCGCTATGTTACGGTGCACCTCGCTCCCTCCCTTCAGTCATTACACACGTGATCTGAGGAAAGTTTCTGTCCGGAAGTCTTTCATTCAGCTACTCCCCTTTATGGAACGCCAGCTAGCTCACAAACACGTGACGTTTGACACGTGGACAACATGTGGACAAAGTGCAAACAACGTGTGGTTGACGTGTTAATTTTTCACATGTTGTCAACCGCTATTAAACATGCTAAGGATCCTCTAATTTCTCTTCCTTTAGCATGCAGCCTATAAAAATGTAATATTTGGATTGCTGTTTAAGACTTAAAATAAATTAAATAAACTTTATTATTAAAGTTATACATTGTTTTCATCATGTTGCTCATTTACTGCCTATTTTGATAAACAAACACATCAGAGGGAATTAATGCTTTTTACACCATTCATCAACTTTAGTTTTATATCTTAAAAAACATGAACAGTTGTGCGGGGGAAAATAACAGCAGTGGTACTCATTTGATGTTGGTGTAGGAAACAGACCATTGTAAAAAATACTGTATGTCTAAAACAACATGAAGCTTTTTCAGCATTTTAATGTAATTTAGGGCTTTGACCAGCAGGGGGCACATTGTGACTAATTATGGGGCTTGTTAAAACCTAAACGGACCTTGTTTAGATATTAGGCACACATATGTACACAGGTGATATTACCCTTTTTGATGAAATGTATAGCTTCCAAAGACTGTCGGGATTAGAATGAAAGTTTGTAATTAGGTCAGTAACTGATTTGACTTTCCTGACAGCAGATGTACACTACTGTGCCAAACTCCTAGGTCGTCCTCATCTTATTAAAGCCTAAAACCTGAGACGTGTTTAGCCAGTTACAGCCTATTATACATAATAAGTTAGATATAATAATGTGGTTCAACAGTTTTAATTCTGCGCAATATTGTGCAAATGGTCTGATGGCTCTTGTTAAATATCAGCAGACTCCTCATTGTTGGCAATAAAATCACGAGTGTGGCTATCCATAGCTGCTTTCAAACTGCATTAAACTCGCTGTATGAAAGGTACGAAGCGTGAAAGGGGGGTCTGATTTGATCCACCTCTGCGCCAGGAACATGGGTAGTAACAGAGACGGAACGATGTCTGTGTGAAAAGCCACAGCCGGCATGCTGGTGTTGTGTCTGTTGGTCTTTTTCTGTCACAGCGCTGGTTCCGCAAAAATCGCATCACTATGTGAAAGCATGGTTGCGGGATTATGCTGCACGCTTTTGAATGAGCAAAATCGGCATATTGGAGATACTGGGGAAATGAAAAATCATCATTTGTAGCTTAATGGATGCAGATCAAACACTGGAACACACACACACACTGCAGCACATGCTATGTTGTGAGCATGTGAAACAGTCACTTTATGACCAATTTGTGGAAGTGGGGGGGAAAATTCTCCCAATGTGATCAAACAACCTTCTAGGTGGGAGTCCTGCACTTTAGCAATTGAGCTAACTGAGCACCTGTCAGGATCGCTGGGAGGGCAGAGCAGGTGAGAGCCCAAATGCATGACACAGCGCTGAGATATAGTTCAAGGGTATTTAATCCAGGGCAAGTCAACACAGGCATGAACCAAACTCACGAGTACAAGGAAACCGGTACATCCAAAAACCCAGAACAGGTAACGCATCAACTCGCAGAACAAACGACAACCGACTGAGCAGACATGCGACCGTGAACAGAAACACCAGACATTTATACACAGGGACTAACAAGCAGGGCGGGAGCAACACAGGTGACTGGGATCAGGGTTAACGAGGCAGAGAGACAGAAGGGGAAACAGAGAGGCTGGATGGCAGGCAGATTACTGGAGGTGAGCAGACATTACACAAGTACTGAACACTGAACATATCAAGGTAAGAAGTAACAGATCAGAATAATAAAAATAACAAACTAACCCAGACACCATCAGAGATATCACCACTAAACTAACACCAACAAGGAACACAGACTGAAGATAAAACAGAACTCAGATCAGTCGTGGGCAAAGCACTACAGAAGTACACAGACCAGGAACCTGTTTCAGAAAGCAGGTTCAACAAACTCTGAGTGTAAACCTGAACTCTGGGTTGAAGAACAAGTTCACTGATCCAGTTACATTTAAATTGCCGTTTATAACATCCAATATGACTATTAAAAAAAGAAGACTGAGTTAGATCACTCATGTCATGAGTGTCATAGATTGCCCACCAGGTGGCGCTTTGCAGCTCCCCTGTTAACACTGCGTCACCACAAAAACCACAAAAGAAAACATCAGCTTCATTTATAGTGAAATGAAATCTCAAAGTTGCAAGTCCTGGTTGTAGACAGTCATGTAGTATTGGAGACATTCAAGAGCAGGTCACTGTATCGTAGACGGTGTGTTTTAGAGCCATATGGTTGAGAAATGGTTTCTTGTAGCTTTGGATAGAATTAAGAGTGCTGGTAAGGGGATAAAACTAGATGTGAATATGCTGCATTGAAAATGGTCAATATGTGTAAGGTAAAATACACAAGCTGCTTCTGTTTACAGATGGCTGAAAAAGTTCCACCTTCTAGCAGCAAATATTTATTGATGAGCAGTTGTTTAAATGTTCAGTTGTTGAGACCGTAATCTATTTTATTAACATAATCCAATTAGGAAAAGGTTTTAGAAAACGGCCTGTTCTAAGTGTAGTTTATACCAGAAAGCGGTCTATTATCCAAATCCTTTTCAAAATCTAAATATCAGTTCTTTTTCACTTTAAAATCTGCATTGGCCCCCAAAAACCCATATCAGTCGGGCTCTAGTGTAAACATCCAGATCAAATAAACAATACGTGTTGTTTTTGTGTCTTTAGGATGCAGAAGAGGTCTCGAACTCTGGCCAAAACCTGGACCAAGATGATATGGGCACCCATTTTAAGCTCTTTCTAGGCTTGTTGTATATTTCATAATGGCATATTGCATCTTTGGCCAACAAATGGGGTGTTCTGGTATTTTGAAGGATGTACAGGAGGTCCATACTTCACAAAACTGCCTGGAGAGACCTAATACAATGGCGAGGGATGTAAGTACAGTTATCAGCACTATCATTATCTAATTAACATTTTTTATCAAAATTATTACCCAACCAAAAGTAATTTCCTTTTGAAATGTTAAGACAAGCGATTGTTGCCATTGTAATGTAACAGTAAGCATGTTTTACAGCTCGAACGTGAATCTCATGACACAGAGAGAGTGGAAGTAGCAGATGATGATGCTGATGTAAGCTTTTGTCTTTACTAGGGACTGAATATAAAACTACTAATATAATGTTTTTACATTTTTAATGTTTCCTCTAGGATTTACATGAGTGGCGTGCACTTCACAAGACAAGATGAGGAATACATACAAAGTCTGCAAACTGAGCAGGAAAGGGTAAGCACACAGCAGTGTTTTATAAAATGTCCCCTCTTCGCCCAGGTAAAGTATGTTAAACACTTACGTTAGTGCAAGCTGTAGGCCTATATTTTGTAATGTTGTATTTAATGGTAATGTCTTTACTCAGGTGTTTGTGTTTTGTCAGGACACTCTGGTTCCTGAAGAGACCCCTCCTCAAAACATCTCATCTGGGTCCTCTGATACCACTGCTGGCTTCCTGGATTTGAGTCATGTCAAAGAAACTACCGAGTAAGTGCTAGTTTCATACTTCCATTAATGGATTAAATGAGTCGCGGCCATCAGGCCAATAAAGTGCTACATACACATTTTGAATGTTGCAAGTCCCACCTGAAAAAGGTTTCTGGTGGTTGTTGTTCTAGACCAGATCTGAAAACCTTACTGACAACTCTGGCATCAAAAGTCTGGATTGGAGAGACGCCCAGCAGTAATATGATCAATGTATGCAGAGAAAACATAATGGATGGTGCCATGCGAGCCTTTACAAGAAGGAGTTTCAATCCAGAGGCCAAATTAAGCGTCATATTTATGGATGACTTCATGCAAGCAGAAGGTTCAGTGGATGAGGGGGGCCCTACACGGGGGTTTTTCCGACTGCTCTCAGAGATAGCAGCCTATTTACAGGGCCACAGTAAGAACCTGTCCCTGGACAGCCACGGTTAGTACCCACACATGCCATTAATCTAAGTCATATTCTAACAAATTGATTGTATTCCTGGCGGATTAAGATTTTAGATTTGAGTTATAAACACCTTATTCTGCAGAGATTTGCCACCTGTTAACCACTGCAAAATGTATTGTTCTACATTTCCATTATGCAGCATTACACAGAGGTCTCTACAGAACCTATGGAGTTATGATGGCTGTGGCGCTGCTGCATGGAGGAGTGTTGCCTTTTTTCCGGAGAGGCTCTACCAAAACCTCTGCTCTACACCCACATTACCACCCGCTCTCAAAGAGGTAGCACATCCAGATTTGACTTATGTTTTGAGGAAAATGCTTGGGTGAGCTCACATCAATATTTATTGCTGGAAAAACAAACCTGCATGGTGCCACATACTGTTTAATAGAGCACTTGCTTCTGTTTGATTGGGCCCACTGGTTGACTGGTCACAATTTTGTTGTGCGACACTCCTGATTGACTTAACCTATGGAAATTGCTTGGTTCTCATCACTGGGGTGTGTTGGGCAGATGTGCTTTTTTAAATGTATTTTCCTTAACATGCTGTCGTATAAATCGTGTGTGTGAGACATGGTACCTTGCAGGACAAACATACACCTTCTAATCATTTTGGTTCTTTACAGACTTTCTGAAGGACTGAACACACTTGGTCTCCTGGACCTGATGAAAATTCACGCCAGCATCTTGAAGGAGGTGTTTTCTTCATCTGAGAGGCCTCTAAAGGCCACAGACTTGATCTCCCTGTTCCAAGTGACACTGTCCCCTCCTGGAAGCAACCGGTGGCGCCTGGAGAAGAGAGTGGAAGGGTACTGGAGAGACTTTCTTCTAGATGTGGAGGGTAAATAAAGGATTCACTCTTTTTGAGTGACTCTGACTTGCTGACACAAACCTGCAGATCATCAGATGTTAATTATTGTATTACCTCACTATTTTACAGATGGTGTGTTTGAGGTCACAATGGAGCAAATTTTGGTGTTTGCCTCTGGAGCCGACAGAGTACCCGCTCTTGGTTTTTCTCCTCACCCAACGCTGAACTTCATTCACGACGCAGGGCGGAAGTACCCTGAAGCTAACACCTGTCTTGTAAATTTGAAACTTCCTATCCATGACACTTACAGACAGTTCGCCAAGTTTATGTGCGATGGCATTATTCACGCTCCCACTTCTGGTCTGGCTTAAAGTCACTGACAGCTATTTTCATAATGGCTGAACTTTGAATGTCCTGCCTGCTAACGTTGTTCTCAGGTGATGATGTTAAGATGATTTGAGGTAATTGTCTACTGAGGTCTGTAGTTGATGACCAGTGTGACACGTCCTAATTAAAAGCTCTGAATAATCAACCAAAGTAGATGAGGTTTGTTTCAGAACTTGAGCAATGCTGTTTGAAAGTGCATCTCTACTAATAAACTGCAGCCACGTCTCCCTATGCTGCCAGCAAGCTAACTGCTAGGTTGTAGGCCTGGTATTGTAGGAAATTGGAGATATTTTCCACGTGGCTAAGTAAATAACTGTTAAACATTTATCACTAACTACGTTTTGTAATGTCACATGTTTAAGTTTAACGTTTCAGCGGACAGCTTTAGGACTGTAACACATTGGTGATTGAGTTTCTTGCCATTAACGTTATGACTTTTAATTATTATTTTTAGTTAACGTTATACCGGGAAGCAGATTTTTATTACTTGGTAGAAACCATCGACTGTAGAGTCCCAATTAAAGACAGGACAACATTTACTGTTAATACCATGAAACTGAGTGCCAGATTCCCCAACCGGCCAACCCCTTTTTCTTTCAACCTCTCTGGCATGCTCCCATTCGATACTGATATAACGTTACATTTTAATTATTTTTAGGCGATGGAACATTAACCTTACTGACTGTGTTTTTAAATAAGGAGCATCTGTGCTGGAGGGGTTTCTGACTGCTAACTGTTAGCTGTGGTGGTGGGAGGCGGCTGGTCCGGTTTGAAACGGATCGCTGGAATGTATTTCCCCCCCACCCCCTTCATAAGTCAACGTGTCGTGGAAAAACTTGTTAAGAGGGACATTGTATGAAGGGGACGTGAACAGGACGGGCAGCTTGTCTAGGAAGTTAGTAAATGCAGTAGCAGTTCTGGCATTAATAATGGAAGAGAAACTGCAGAAGTCCCAATGATGCGAAACTATGAAACTGTATTTTCTGTGAGATATGACACTAACTAGTTTTAATCTGGAGGTCACACGCACCCCCCCCACCCATTCTGTAAAATCTCTTGCACCCAATATCGGTCAAATTAGAGCTAATATAAATCCGTGAATGTGCAAACTAGCCATACAGATATATGATGCTCTTGTACAACCTATAGGTGACTGTAACAATGTAGCTTCAGGTTCTACTCAGTCATGCTCCACTCACTTGTGCTCAATTGGATACAGATTGATGGGAATGTAATTAAGATTAGTTTGTCAAAAATGTCACATTTTTGTTCCTCAGACTAGAGACCCTTGAGAGGAGCATCAGATGGGCAAGAGGGAGGATTCTCCAGTTGGACGATGCAGATGAACTTCTTCCATTAGTGACTCAAGAAGGTGTTGACTTTTGCCTAGAGATTACGTCATGCATCATGGAAAGGCTTTCAAGTTTGGAGACGCTTAAAGGTGGAATTGTTTTCAACATGCGTAGTCCACAGCTTGTCGTCCTGACTTTAGATGGCTTGACTGACTGATCAGGAGGTCTGACCAGTGTGATTGTTAGTGTCTGTGATTGTACAGGTGCTTAGAAGCTATAAAAAATGACTTGACCTCAAAATAAATACCAAAGCGAAATAAGGTGTGTGAGCGTGTGGTAGTAAAACTAAAACTGCTTGCCTTCTGAACTACTTACACACTGTGTTGACTTATTCATCTTAATTCATAACTAAAGGACTGCCTTTGTAGATATCTTTAACAAACAAGTACAAAAATGCTCCCAATACATATTGGCCAGGGGCTCATTACATGCCATGTTTTCAACAGTCTCTTGTAATGTGTGAGAGCCACAGGCAGTACTTCATCTCAGGCTGATCTAAATCCTGACTCTGTCCTCTACCACTTCCCTAACCATTTATAATCAAAACACTAGTGGGGTGCAGTGTACAGCTTGGACAGATAACATTACACTGTTGTGGAGGTTGACTTCAGGGAATAAAGTAAGATTATAAGATTATTGTATTGTAATGTCCTCATCATATTGTATTTTCTTTTTTCTTTCATTACTGTTTTAATGTTTTATTTCTTTAAAAGCCCTTCTAGGGACGGGTGTTAAACACTATGGTACACACACGGATTCCTTTATTTAGTTTATCTATGTTAGATGTATTGGTCCCTAAAAAATAAACTGGAAAAAACAAAATAAGACGGCTGGTCGTACCCAACCACTCGAGGGTAAGAATACCAGCGTAAGCCAATCAGGCAGCCAGCTCACCTGTGGAACAAAGAAGTCGGCTGGCCTCATCCCTCATCTGTGTGCATGATATGCAAGTTTCCTTGCACCTTTAGCAGCAAAGCAGTGGTAACTTATTACTTCATTCCTATGTTTAGACAGAAATTGTATTTGAAGGTAAACTACATTAAATGTAGAGGGTTTTTCCACAGGCTAAAAACACCAGGGTAATACACCGCCATCAACATCTCATCTCTATCCCTGCACCTGCACAACTTCACCTGTATGAGTGTAATCAAATATAGCTCTAATCATGAGAGAATGCTGCGTCCTGTCTGCTGTGTCGATTTTAAATGAGCCTTATAAAACAATAATTTGATAATAGTGGCTGACAGGCATGCATATTGGTTCATATCTGGTCATGTATTCTGTTTTGGCAGCATTAGAGACCTCCGGGTATCAAGCCCCATTGGTCCGGACAGGTGATTTTGGACGATCCAGCTACCTAATCACTGAAGAACACCTGAGATTCCTGCTTTCATGTGGATTTGGAACTATGCAAATTGCTGAAATCCTGGATGTATCAGTCAGTACAGTTAAACGAAGATTGAGGTATGAACAACAGTTACAAGGCGTACACAAAATATTGTGTTCTTTTGTCAATTTATTCACTAGATTTTTGTTTTCTATCTTACTATATGTTCAGTGAAATGGGTAGACTTCTCAAGCTGGCAGTGGGTAAAGTGGAATAAGCTAAAGTTCAGTATCGTAATGTAATGCATATAGGTCAGACATTAAATTTGGGTGACACACTTGGTCATTCTGAGCATGAAAACCAATGGCCATGTTCTTTACACTCCAAACCAATAGTTTGGTTTAGTTTATTATTGAGGAAACGTGTTTATTTTTTTCTTCAAGGTGTAGTTGTTACTGAAGCTGCTATTATTATTGATGCTGTTATCTTTATCAGAAGTTTGTGTAAGATGGTCACGTTCAGTAAAATGCAAATACACTCAGATTGAAATTGAGTTCTGTTCTCTCCCAGGCGCTTCAACTTGCCCTACCTGATGAGGTCTGCACGTCTTTCTAATGCAGAACTTGATGAAGTCAAGTCAAGCTGCAGTCGGTTGGAGAAAATGAAGAGATGGGAGCAAATGCTGTTTTGGCCAGACTGGCTGCTATGGCTGTTTGAGTGCAGAGGAGAAGAGTGAGAGAGAGTTTGATTGGAGTGAATCCAGAGCGTTGTCTCACCGACTGCACCGGAGAACCTACAGTGCTGCAGGACCCAACTCGCTGTGGCACATAGATGGGAACCACAAACTCATCAGGTATATGCGGATGATAAATTAGTTACAGTGAGACTAAACACTCAACTAACAGAATCATTTACAGGCCTCTTCAGTGCAAGCTTTTCACTTTAAGAGTGAATATTCTGCATGCAAATATGAATTTGTTTTTGCCGTACTGGTGTGCGTTACTTCTGATGAACTATGATGACATCAGAATAAACAAGCACAGATCCTGCACAGATGCATGTTGTTAGGACACAAGTTAATATTCAGGTTTCTTTCCTAGTTTATTGAACTGTCATCAGGTTTTTATAAATTGAGGTGTCCTCTGTTATGTTACTTGTAATTATGAGATGTTTTCTGCGTGTCTGTTTTGTATTATTGATGCACTGACGTTACATGACAGTGTTTCCCACACATAATGTATTTGTGGTGGTCCGCCACAATATCAACGCTGACTGCCACAAATTGAAGATTATTTAATTTTTGTACTATTTGAAATGGATCCGTGGTGTTTGACTGTAGAGTTGCGTGCAGTGCATGTATTCGCTCAGCACCTCGCTACCTCCCCCCCTCTCTCACAAACACATTGACAACTGAACCGTCTGTAAACAGCTGCTCCTCTTTGTGCAGCCTGAATCAAAACATGATCATGCGCTGCAGGAAGGCTTGTTGCCAGCTTTTCCGCGCAGAGAAGATCACTGAATCCATCTGAAGCTGAATGGTCGACGTTAGTATCATAAACACGGCTGCACAAATCTGTCCAACACGACGCTGTCAATTTCTGAGACCCACCTTCAAATAAGTTATTAGTAAGCATGTATGGAGCCTAGTTATGTTAAGAATAGCCTACAGCTGGGTGGCCGAGGTTAGGACACTGTACATGGCTACTAGTCAATGTCCACTGCCCCCCCCCGGCCACAGTTACGCTGTCATCCTGTGGGAAACACTGCATTATGTACAAAATTGCACTTTGACTGCACCCCTATATTTTTGGCAGGGGTAAGCATAGTATCCTGAATTTATTAATGTAATCTTAACACAGAATAACAGCTTTTTGTTTCGTTTGTAGATGGAGAATAGTGATCCATGGCGGAATCTGTGGCTTCAGCAGGCCGGTTGTGTTTTTGCAGGCTTCAGATAATAACAGAAGTTGCACAGTGTTTGACCAGTTTGTTCAAGCCACTGCTAGGTATGGAGTCTCGAATAAGGTGTGACCATGGGGGAGAAAACAATGCTGTCTGCTTGTTCATGAACATTTACCGTGGATTAGAAAGAGGAAGTGCCATCCGGGGCAGAAGTGTCCATAACCAGCGGACGGAGAGGCTTTGGGGAGATCTCTGGAGAGGTATGACTAATGTGGACCACCAGCTTTTCACCTTCCTTGAAAATGAAAGAATCATTGACTGTACCAATGAGCTGCACTTGTGGGCGCTGCATTATGTTTACCTGCCACGGATTAACCGGGACCTGGAGGTTTTCAGGCAACAACGGAACAACCGTGGCTCGCGCCCTGTTGGCCTCGCCATATCAGATATTTGTCCAAGGACGTCTTCAGAGGCAAACACAACCGCTCACAGCCATGGCAGAGATTTTTGGATCCGACACTGCTCAACAAGGGGCTGCGGCTGCAGTTCCTGTTCTGAATTGGCAAGAAAGAGTAACAGTTCCTGCTAACCGATTCGGTCCAAGCCGTGCACAGACGCGACAAGTCCAGGATGTGGACACTCTGGCGGGACCGATTGGTAGTCTAGCCATAGATAATGTTTTGGCCATGCCTCTGTATTGTTCCCTTGTTGTTTCCCAGTTAGTCTCTCCGTGTCAGCTAGAGGAGATACCGGTAGACCAGACCGCTCACCTGCTGTGGAGGGGGGAGTAATTGACCAGTTCAGCTTCAGTCTTCTTTACCCTCCTCTTGGCTCTCTTCTCCGCCTTGCATACACCCATTTATAATAACAGTGGCATTTATGCTCTTACAATCCCAACTGTTCTTCTTTTTGATGACAGTATATTTCTCTCTGTGTCTCAGGATTATACAACAGTTTCTTGCCAGTCTCTTTGCCAACTCTGGATTCCCTAGCTTACCTCCCCTCTCAAGGTAAGATTACATTATAATAGCTTCACAGTGTAAGGTCTAGTGGCAGTGTAAGCATTGTTTCTAATTAACATGTGGTGTGTGTCTCTCTCAGGACGGTATCCTGCACTCTAATCCAGGGGATAATGAATCCCTGAGGAATGAGAGGGTTAGATGCCGTGATAAAACTTTATGTCCCTGCCACCTTTTCATTTCTTTGCAGCTCACAGATGTGTTTTTGTCAGTGTAGTTACTGGGTCAGTTGCAGAACACAGGCCCTCCTCCAGCTGATAGAGAAGATCTCTCCTCTCCCATCTGTCAGTATGAAATGTGAATGGCTGCAAGACAAAATGGATAAACTGACAGCACGTGTGTCTGATTGCAGGTTTAGAGACAAAAGTGAGTGGAGCTAACTTTACGTCCTATAAATGTAGCTACATAGCATTATTAGTGACTCCTGTTGCTGCTATTTTTATTTCTGATGCTGCTGCTATTAGTATAGATGCAGATACATGTTGAACTACGCACTTTACAATGCTCCAACCACACCATGTTCACTCCGCCTTACGGAAATAGATCTGCTCTTTTTTTTGTCTCGTCTACTGTAGTTATTGTGTTGTGTGGAGTCTTGTAAGTTGATTATTGTGATCTTGTTTTTAGTACCATGGATCATTTCGTTAATTTATGTACTCGGTGTATTGATTATTATTAGTGTATTAATGTACTGTTAGCTTTCCATTTCAGTGTTCAGAAGTCTGCAGCCCAGGGGAGATGTTTGCTGGCGCTTACTGCCTTCACTTTCCAGCAAGTAGGGAAACAACAGACTTATTATTAGCGGACACACTCTGACCTACACTGTACATTTACTGCCACACTGACAGCTTATTGCTCGTATTTTCCTCTGCTCCTCTTGCTTTCACATTCGCTTGTCATTTTCTGCTGCCTGTCACGTAGGTGTCCTTTGCAGAATGAGGAGAGGGAGCCAACTGTTAAATGTTACCGTGCTCACACTGTGCGAGTGAAAATCATTAGTTGCTTTTTTATATACAGTCTGTTAGTTGCACATTGATAATAATAACCCTGTGAAGTATCGATTTATGTACTTATTTTCCCCACCCCTAGTAACCACAGGGGTCTTGATAAACATTTCTTTTCTCCTGTAGACTGCTGTGTGCAGTGTCCAGTGCACAGAGAGAACTTCGCAGTGGGAGAGCCATTCAGACAGCTGCCCTGTAACCACTTCTTTCATTCAGAATGGATAGTACCATGGCTGGAACTGGTGAGTCATAACAAAGAGAGTTGAGCTTTTGTAAAATAAACTCACAAAACAGATCCTTAATGGCATTTAATAGTTGATATGATATTCACAGTGCTCATTCAGGCATTAGGACCTAAAGGAATTTAGAACATGCTACCTGGTAGAAACATTTATGTGGGGTCGACTAAAAATAAACATTTCCTATTGTTTATTGTAATAAGGAACAGTGTTTCCCAGTGCAAATACGTGACGAATTAATGTGTTCTAGGAGAGGAATGGAGGTTAATGGCACTTACAGTAACAAACAATAAGCACGTATATATATCATTTTGCCAGCTTTACCTTTAGAATTGCCTTAAAGGAATGTGAAATTACAATCAACTAAACATTATTAGATGCTAAATGCAGAATTAGTTCACCCATGTTGAAGTTGCCCTACTATACCAGTCATTTAACATTAGCAGTGTGGGATTTTGCTGAGGTATATTTGACTTACCAGACAAAGGTCACAGAACAGCCTGAGCATCGTGTGCAATAGGACTTAAATAAGGAGTCCACTAGTTATAACTCCCCATCAGAGTATCCACCCTCTACATGGACGCCGCAAACAGGAGAGATGGTCCTTCTGAGACACCTACCTTTCTCATCCCTCGTTCTCCTCGCCAAGACACAGCGCTTGTCACGTTGTTTAATTTATTTAATGCCTTTCTGCACCATGTAAACAGAAACCCGTACAGACGTCCTAACAGTCGATTGAGTTCAACCCCGTGTCTTCTCTACTTGCACCTCTCAAGCAACTCCATCTGCCTTGAAATGCACCGCTGCAATACGCTATTGTGGGGAAATGCCAGACTTGATATGATACCGTGTCCTCTTTACACATCAGAAAATGTGCTAAATCCTGCAGCTGAGCCCTCAGTGGCATATGGGATGGCTGTAGGGGTTACTTTCACTCTTGGCATTTACAGGCTTTGGACCTAATGTAGCCCTGCAATAAATGTTGTGTTTTTGAAGGATATAATGATATTTTTTGTTGAGATTAGGCAGGAAGATATTGATCTCTGGTTATTCTGCTGGTGTTTTATTGGATTGCATTATAAACCCATGGGCCAATGACGGGCAATTGATGGGGTATCTTTGAAATAAAAACCTTTCTCGTGGTTGTCTAGCTCTGTGGGTGTTTTTGATGTAGAGTCAGATGCAGATGGAAACATTGTAACGTTTCTGTTAATGAAATGACTTCAGTAGGCAGTTTAAATGGTATTCACACTGCTTTCTTGTTGCTGTATGATATATCCAGCTATATCAATTAAGACTTGGTCGATAATTAATCTTAAATGATGTTAGTTTCCCACCCGAGCACCTGGTTAAAATCAGGACATTGTCATTATTTTACCATTTCATCAGGATTAAGGGTATAGGCTAGTCTATTATGCCCCTGCTGGTCATAACTCTACATTCAATGAAAGAGGAAAGTTTCATGTTATTCCAATGGTCTGTATCCTAAACCAACATTTAGTGAGTACCACTGTTGTAACTGTGCAGCCACACAATTGTTGATGTAATGATATAAAACTAAAGATATTTCTTTTAGGACGCACTTTAAAATCCTTCTGATCACTTTTAAGGCCAGACATGGGCACGCACCTTCTCTGAGCTTTTATCCCCATATGAGCCAGGACGCAGACTGAGATCCTCTAGTAGGGCTCTGCTAACTGCTCCAAAGTCTAGGCTCAAAGCCAAAGGGGACAGGGTCTCTGCTGTCAGGGCCCCTACAGGCTCAGAGTCTGCTCCTGGTTTCATCTCACTTCTTAGACACATTTCTACAAAAAGCTTTCACTGTGTGACGCCTCATTTATTTTCCTTTATTGACAGATGGATTGTTTTAAAGCTCTTTGTTCCCCGTGTTGAAAAGTGCTCTACAAATAAAGCTTTTATTATACAGAGGAGGTGTGCAGTGGCTTGGACCAGCAACGGACCCCTCGGCAACCGGTCCGGACCACAAGGACCGCGTGGACCACTAGTTCATATTTCTACAGACGAGACAGGAGGATGCTGGGAGAAAAGAGAGGCGGGAAGCTGAACTACCTGGTGAGGTCTGAAAATGAATCTGTGTCTGATAGATGATTCCAGCCGTCGTCGTACTTGAAACAAGTTAGCATAGCATCGCCCTGACTGAGCAGAACTCCATTTAAAAACAAGCGTTTTAAAAGATGTTTGCTTGTCATCTTGAAGACAGACCTGACAGAGCAGGAATTCATATGTTCAACAAATCAGCATCATTTTGATCAGTTTATTGAAATGAAATCACAGCAAAATGTTTATTTTGGCTTCAAACCACTGCAGGAAACCAGATTATTGAATTAGATCTGAGTGCATAAACAGCACTTTAATAACATAACATCTTTGAGTCCAACAGATTACTGTAAGCTTCTGATTTCCTCTGGTAACAGTTCATGACCTGTGTACTGGAACATAATGACTGCTAGTATATTGTGCTGGAGTCTACTGGTCCCTGGGTTGGTTTTACTATGTTGTCTGTTTTGTGTTGACTTGTACTGACTACAGATGAAAAACAGCCTTCTGGCTAAATCTGGCATATTTACTGAAATGTTTCAGCTTCAATGAAAAATCCAGCTTTATCTTTGAGGAATGAACAGAGAGACGAGAAAAACCAGAACCTGGAGGAAAGAGACTAAAGAAGTGGAGTTTCTGCTGAGTTCTGAGATCAACGTCTGAAGGACTCGGTACGCTTCAAACAAACTAGATCACGTGACGTCTGTTTATACCTGCTCCAAATGTCAACGCTGGAAGACAAAGATCACAGAGTCCAGATGTTTCAGAGGCCTGAACCAGGTCCACTGGAGGCCTCTGGGTTTAACTGCTGTGCTTTGATCCAGTGTGTAGTGAGGAGGAAGAGGCGCTGAATAAACAGGGACTACAAAAACACTACAGACCACATTTGTGTTCAGGCTGAACAAACCTTTGTTCTTGTGAAAGTCTGACTGAATCAAATCTTATTGTGTCTTCATTCTCTGAGTCCATTTTAACAGCTGGCTGCTTTCTGTTCTGTCACTAAATGTGTTGCTTTCTGTTTAACTTGCATCCTGCCAGGGTTGGTGCTGGAATAATCTGAGCTGGACACTTGAGACTTGGACTCGAGTCCTTTTCAATGTTCTCATTAAAGGAGTCGACACAAAGAGAAGCTTTGACTCTTCGTTTGAAACTGGACCTTCAATCAACTGTTTCCTTTCAACAAGATTTGTTGTGGCTTCAGAAAATGTGACAAATTGTGACGGGTCCAAAATCTAAAGACAGCAGCTTCCAGCATCTTCTAAATCCTGCTGCTGTAGAAAGTTCTGACATGTGGTTTAACTTGACTCTTAACTTCCTGTCAGTGGTTCTGATTTCCTGCAGCTGCTGACTTCTCTGTGTCTGTAGAAATAAAGTTTGTTTGACTGCACGCATTAGAACGAGCCACAAATATCCAGAGAGCCGCAGCTGTTATCCAGCCGCTGGGAGGTTCACAGGAAACACGCCCGTTCAAGCCATGTGACATCACGCTGACCTCACTCTGACATCACTGATCAGCAGGAATCAATAGTGAGTGTGTAGACTGTGTGTGAGAGTCAGTAGGAGGAGTCAGAGTGAAGAAGAAGCTGACAAAGCGTCCTCCTGTCTTCATCCGTCCTCCATCAGCTGCTTCACCTCCATTTTCTCTCTGATCCAGAGTCAGATCGGATCAATGATCAAAGATCAAACAGATTGATCGGCCATCAGAGGAGTTGGATCAGTGGAGCTGCTTCTGTTCCTGCTTCTCTCTGCAGAGGAGACAGAGGACAGTTAGACAGAGACAAACACAGAGACTCTGACCTCAGTCTGCATACTGACCTTTGACCCTGAGAACAACTGATTTCACTCTCAGGATGTTCCGTTCATGTCGTAGACTTTGCACCTGTATGTTCCTCCGTCTCTGTCTGTGGGGGATTTCAGGGTCAGACTGAGGTCTCCAGTTCTCAGCAGGTCTTCCTTCATCTCTGTTCGGTCTCTGTAAACCTGGTCCTGTTTGTCAGGCTGGTCAGAACCGTTCTCATTCACATGGACCGTCTCATAGGGATCATAGTGGATCCACCTCACTCAGACATCCTCAGGCAGGTTGTCTGTGGTCTTGAAGGGCAGCAGGACAGACTCCGCCCCCTCCTCCACCTCCACCTGACAGACTGAGAGGACAACAAAGCAGAACATGAGCTGCACAGACAGCAGCAGCAGTTTGAATAACTTTATTGACAGAAGCAGATGAGAGCAGCAGCTAACAGGGGACAGAAACACAGGAAGCTGTTGGAGATGATCAGAGTCTTGATGCTGCTGGGATTGTTTTGTCCATGTGCTGCTTCACAGTAATGTCTCCTGTCAGTGTTGAGCTGCTGGACTTTTACATTTCTGGATCTAAAGCTGAACTTTGAAGAGAAGAAGCTTTCAAATGTTTTCATCTCTGTTCTGTAAATGAATCTCAGCTCCACATGTTCAACATCAGTCCAGAACACCGAGACACACAAACATCTGATCTGGATCTGATCCCAAACTGCTCTTCCTGCTTCATCAATATTTGGCCTTTTCTTCTGCCGACTCTGAGCCCACTTTTCTTTCCAAACGGCTTCAACATGATGTGAAGAGAACTGAGCATCAATCTTTCATTGATCCAAACTATTAAAGCTGCATTTCTTTGTTCTGAGTGATCAACACATTTGGTTTCTTTCAGCTTTCTTCTTGATCAATACTGGAAATCAATAACTTATTGATCTCATTCTTTCCATCCATGGAAATGATCTCCTGGATTATTCTGGTTTCCTGTTATGACGTCATTTCTGATCACCTGCTGAGCATTTTTACACTGAAATATTGGTTCTTTTATTTTTTAAAGTTACTTTGCTGGGCGCTGGATAAAAAAGCCAAAGCTGCAGGTTGCAAAGAGGTTGGAGAGTTTCTGACTGCATCAGTAATAATTTACAACACATTTGTCTGTCCTCCCCAACATCAGCTGCTCTCACTATCTCTGATATCTCTATATTTTTCAGATATTGTGCTACAGCTTTCTGTGTGTCCTTTACTCCGTCTCCTGTTGGGCCTAATAAACCTTCAAGGTTCACTTCCTTCCTGCCTGACTCATCTTTTGATTCAGCCTCATCCTCTCATCCCTGTATTTCCTACGTCTGATTGACTTTGCCCATTAAAACAATGTTTTATTTAAGCCTGTATGATCAAACCTCAGCCTGGTTAAAACGCTCTCCTCTCTTCTGTTCCCTGAGCATTAATAGATTTTTACAAGCTGTAATATTTCCTTCCACTTTTATCCACATCCCAGCCGTCCTGCCATTTCTTCATGGTTTCTTTTCTGATTATCGCCTCAGCTTCTCCTTTTCCAAGGGCTGTATTTATGACATCGTTCGTCCCGGTTTTCATTTGGCTGCTTTCCCAACTTTCATTCATAATCCTTTTTGTAGGACGTGTGTCCTTCTGACTTTGTAAATTAGCCCAATAATTGGCCCTCAGCTGTTTCCTTCTTAGAATCAGTGGCATTTCTCCAACCTCCAGCTGAAGCGCTGATATTGGTGTTGACTTTACTGCTGCACAGCATAACCTCAATGATGGGCCTGAATTTTATCCAACCTTTTTAAAGATGTTCTAGCAGCTGATCCAGAAACAATACATCCATATTCTAGGACTGATCTAACTAATGCAATATAAATATTTCTTAGCAAACACTGCCTGTTAAACATCTCATAATATTCAGGACTTTCTTACACTTATCTTCCACCTCATCAAAATGATTTTTCCACGTAAGCAATATATCAAACCACAGCCGCAGGAATTTAAAGGTTCCACTCTTTCTAACCTTTGATTGGACAATTTCAAACAAATATCTTCTTTGACTTCCTTTCTTTTAAAAAGATGGTTTGATTAAACTTAAATCTCCAATTTAAAGACCAATCTTCAACCACACTAACAGCTTCCTGAACTTTCTTTACAACATACTCCAGATTCCTCCCTCGTTTCCAATTCCAAAGCAGAATGATCCCAATGTCTGGATGAACCTTTTATAAACATCATTGATCATGATTGAAAACAGTAGCGGACTAATGACGCTCCCCTGAGCGCTGCCGTTTTCAACTAAAAATGCATCTGATGTAGAGTTCCCCACACGAACCTTAATGTAGCTACCAGATAAGAAACCTTTGATCCAGTTATACATTTTACCTCCAATACCCATTTTATCTCGCTGTATTAAAAGACCTCCTGCGCCTTCTCTATATCAAAGAAAGCAGCTAGCACCCCCTCTTTGTTAGCTTGAGCTTTCCTAACATCAGTTGATTGGTTCCAATATGACACCTAAATATTTTACCTGTTCTTGATTTGAAATGATTTTAAAAAATTAAAATATTAGGGTAGATTTGTATTTTAGAACGATTTCTGAAAAACATTGAAACAGTCTTATCTAAATTTAGAGTGAGGCATGAGTTTTTCAGCCACAAAGAAACTTTCTTAATCTCTTTGGTCAGTTTTTGAGCGACTTCTTCCGCAGTTTTACCATGTGCATATAGCACCGTATCATCAGCATACATGATGATTTTACTCTTACACACAGTTGGTAGATCATTTATGTAAAGGGTAAAAAGCAGGGGGCCCAGAATGGAACCTTGTGGCACTCCCATGCTACAGGATCTTAATGGTGATTTTTTGTTGTCAACCACAACGCATTGTTGTCTGTCATTAAGGTAAGATTGAATCCATGCTATTGTATTTGTGTCAAAAGAAAAAAAATCAGATAGTTTGCTAATGAGAAGCTGATGATTAACTGTATCAAAGGCCTTTCTCAAGTCCAGAAAGACCGCCCCTCCACCATCAAGACTGGATTTAATATCTTCTATCAAGTAGCAGCACACAGACTCTGTGGAGTATCTTTTCCGGAACCCAAACTGGCAAGGATGTAATGCGCATCAGTGTGGTCGAGATGCTCTACTAGTTGTTCTGCCACCACCTTCTCAAAGATCTTAGAGATGGCTGGCAGAATGCTAATAGGTCGATAGTTTGACACACAGAGCTTGTCTCCTGACTTGAAAATCGGCTTGACTACTGCTTTTTTTAACGCCAAAGGAAAATGTTTTTCCTTTATAGATTGATTCACAGCTATTGTTAATACAGGAGTTAGAATAGTTATGTTCTTTTAAAAGTGATGTATCAAGTCCAAATATGTCCTTTGCTTTACTATTTTTTAAATTTGATATTATTTTGGAAATCTTGTCTTCATCTATATTCTGCAACCTAAAGTGAGACGTAGGTTTTTATCTACGTCTCACGTAGTATTTTAGCATCCCCATGATCATCTCCGCAGCAGTTCACTTCAGGAAAAGTCTCTGCGAGATCTAATACAGAATCCAAGAAATAATCATTGTAATGTTAAGCCAGAATAGAGCCCTCATTTTGAACAATTCCATTGATTTTGAGTTTTAAATGCTCCTGATTTATTTTTTTCCTTCCCATTAATTTATCCATGCTTCTCCACAGATTCTTACAATTACCTTTTGCCTCTTTGATTAAATTTAGAAAAAAATTTGCTTTTGCTTTTCAAAGCAGCATGGTAACTTTATTTCTCAGAGATTTATAAATGTAATAATCAGTGGTTAATTTCGTTTTAAGAGAAACCTTGAGTGCTTTATCTCTCTGTTTCATTGTATCCCACAGGTATTCATTAAACCATGGGAGCCTCTTTTTATTTGATTTTGATTGATGTTTGAGCTGTGTATGTTTATCAATTTTATTCTTTATAGCAGTTATAATATTGTTGCATGTATGTACACAGCTTTCTTTATCAATTTTGGAGGCCCAATCAATTTCATTTAAATCATTTTTAAAATGTACTTGATTTTTTTGAGGTATATGAGGAAATTTGCATTGTTTATTTGATTGTTCTTTGTTTATGTATCTTGATTTATTTAATTTCCTGGCTATTAGTACAAAATTATGATCGGATAGTCCAGTTATTAGGTTATATGTTTTAACTATCCTGTCTGGTTTATTGGTGAATATTAGGTCTATCAAAGTTTGACACGTTTTTGTTATTCTAGTAGGTTTTTTAATCAATTGTGTCATTTGTATTGAGTTTGCAATGTCTTTTAATTGTTTTCTCTTGACTTTATCAAGCCAATTTATGTTGAGGTCACCCATGAGCAATATTTCCTTTCGTTCATATGTTTTTAAAATTTTTGTTAAACCAGTATAATGCATTTGGTGGTCTATATACACAAAGTACAATAAATGACATTTGAGGCGATAGTTTGATTGTAACACCAACACACTCTATAGTTTGATCTGGAATGTCTATCTGATGACTGTCAATACTGTCTTTTAGGTAAATCAAGACCCCGCCCCCTTTTCCCTTTCCTCTGTCCCGTCTGCATACTTTATATCCCGGAATCATAAATGCCGATACAGGAGTTGTAGCTGTAATCCAAGTCTCAGAAAGACACAGGTAGATTTGATCCCAACAGTAGATGTTCCAACTGTTTTAGACATTACGCTACGTATGTTAATATGTCCTCCGAAGATTCCTTTCGGCTTCGTCAATGGGTTCCATAGGACCAACGCGTGGTTTACTGTCTGAAATAATTTCATCTGTCTTTGTTTTGAAACGGCTATAGTCTGCATTGCGTTTAATTTACCACTTTCATTTGCTGGCTTAAACGCATGTAGTGACAGACGGTTACCTTGTTGCAATGTGTTGATAGACGTGGATGCGCGTGGATGCGCACCGTTAGCAATGTTACCTGATATCATCTGCGCCGTATTAAAAGCATGTAGCGTGTGGGTCAGAGCGGTCTCAGCCACCTGCAGTGGTTGTTGTAGATCCATCGGCCCTGGATTTACTTGAATATCCCCGCATAAAAGTAGAATGATGCAGAGAAAAGTTGTACGATCCCGGTAGACTGTTGTTTGAGCCATACTCCATGCTCTCGACTTGAGTTGCTTATTTGGAGCATTCGCACGCCCATCATCAAGAACTTTGGAGAAGATGACATACTGGCTCCATGAGTCGAGGGGTTCAACAGGCCTAATTGTACCACTTGCTTGTGAGATTGATCGTTCACTGGCAGCAGTCCAACTCCCACACATTTGCATAGTGACGATCGTCGTCAAATAGAACGATAAAATAAGCACATTTAACGCCTTAACTTTGATTGACTTTGATGGCCAAGATATCCAGGTTTTAGGGACAGATCTTACATCGGGTGGTTTTTCAGATGTCTTTAGAAAAGGCAGAGCATCAGCACCTGCCAAGCTGCTACCTGCTGCCGCCATGTAAATGTAAATGCTCCGTACTTGTATAGCGCCTTTCTAGTCTTTTCGACCACTCAAAGCGCTTTTACACTACATCTGCATTCACCAGTCATACACATTCATACACTGAGCCTAAGTGCTCAAACAGAAACTAACATTCACACTCACTCATACACTGGCGGAATATCCGCCAGGGGCAAATCGGGGTTCAGTATCTTGCCCAAGGACACTTCGACACGCAACCAGGGGGAGCCAGGGATTGAACCGCCGACCTTCCAATTAACGGCCAACCCGCTGACTCACAGCCACCCCTATGGCCATCTTGCCACCTCAATCCAAACTCCATCTCCACTTTCCTCTCTTCCGTCCCGTTTGTTTTCCTCTCTTTTTTCAGTTGGTTCTGTTGTTCCGACTCACTGTGACTGGACACAGAGTTCTTCCTTCTTGGTCTCTTCCATGTTACCTCCTGCCGTTCTCCTCGCTCACCATCCCGTTCACTCGCCATACTCTCAACATTTTCAAACATTTCCACTCCCGGGCTCAAAGATGCCATCCTCCTTCTGCCGCTCTCCTCCTTTCCTGACCTTGATTTCCCATCATGCACTCCTCCAACCAATGACAGCCCACTATTAGACTCCAGCTCAATTAGCACAGTTTTACCAGTTGAACATAAAAATGCTGTTTTTAACTCAACATTATCGTGTTAGAGTTATTTATCATACAACATATAACAGTTTTTAATAAAATACATCTCCATGTTTTTACCTTGTTCATCAACATGAAATGACTTTTAATCTCAGATTAACTTCTAATGAACTCTTTTAGACTCTACTGTTTATACTGGGTTACGCTCCAGTTAAGGTTAATGATAATATTATAATCATACCGCTATCATAAAGTGAGACTGTCACCTGCTGCTGCTGATCGCTCAGAGTCCAACAGCGCAGCAGAAGCTATTTGACATTGTTTATGTAGCTAGCATAGTTTACTGATGCAGCTGCAGCTTCGGCTAACTGTCCTAATGGCTGACTAGCTGATGTTATTTTGTCAGCCTGGCGTTGGCCCTCACTGCTGTGGGTAACCTAGGTCCCTATGTATCATTATTAAATATTAAGGTGGCTTCCCTTGATACAGATGCAGCTGTATGATAAGGCCTATTATTCACCACCTGTAGCATGTTGCTAATATGAACACTTGTGTATTAAGTAAATCCATGCCGTGCATTCATTTAATAAACAGAATATTTCCCAGTCAGTTATTGTTGAAACAGTTTTGGCATTAATAATGTAATGATATCTACAGTGGGGAGAACAATATTTGATACACTGCTGATTTTGCAGGTTTTCCTACTTCCAAAGCATGTAGAGGTCTGTTATTTTTATCATAGCTACACTTCAACTGTGAGAGACGCAATCTAAAACAAAAATCCAGAAAATCACATTGTATGATTTTTAAATGATTGATTTGCATTTTATTGCATGACATAATATGATAAAAATGACAGACCTCCACATGCTTTGTAAGTAGGAACATCAGCAGCGTATCAAATACGTTTGCACTGTACTTAGAATAACTGTGTAAGTAGTAAAACAATAGAAACACACACAGGGCAGTAAAAGTGTGTTTTAAGTTTCGAAACATTTTGAGTCCCCCTCTCTTGCCTCACAGTGGTTTGGTCCTCTGCCTGCTTTCCCTCTCAGGAGTCCGGTGGCAGAAAACCAGTTTGATCCTTCAGTAGTTGTGAAACTGCAGTAATGTTAAGCAGACTGGCAGGGCTGTTTTATTCACTTTAAACATCAGATGAACTCATTCTTTAGTCTTTAATACAGATGATGCTGAGTCATTAAGAAATTAATCCTGATAACTGATCATTTTTCCACGAGCCCACGATGTTATAACATCAGCTAGCTTGTTTAGCAGCTTGTTGGACTGTAAGTCACCTTCTACAGCTAGAGATGTGCAGATTGATCAGCTGGGGACTGAAACAGGCCATTTGGTTTTCAGAGCTTTGACCTCTGACCTGTAGCTACAGCACTGACCTTTGACCTTGAGCTCCACTTGTTTCTCCATCAGGATGTCTCTCTCCCTGCTGTAGACTGTGCAGGTGTAGGTGTCTCTGTCTTCATCTGTGGGGTATTTCAGGGTCAGAATGAGGTCTCCAGGTCTCTGCAGGTTTCTCTTCATCTCTGTTCGGTCTCTGTAAAAACTGTGCTGTTCTTCAGGCTGGTCAGAGCCGTTCTCATATACGTGGACCTTCAGGTTGTATCTGTCCCTCCACTCCACTGTGACGCCTTCAGGCAGGTGAGCTGTGGTCTTGCAGGGCAGCAGGACAGACTCCACCCCTGAATCCACCTCCACCTGACAGACTGAGAGGACAACAAAGCAGAACATGAGCTGCACAGACAGCAGCAGCAGTTTGAATAACTTTATTGACAGAAGCAGATGAGAGCAGCAGCTAACAGGGACAGAAACACAGGAAGCTGTTGGAGATGATCAGAGTCTTGATGCTGCTGGGATTGTTTTGTCCATGTGCTGCTTCACAGTAATGTCTCCTGTCAGTGTTGAGCTGCTGGACTTTTACATTTCTGGATCTAAAGCTGAACTTTGAAGAGAAGAAGCTTTCAAATGTTTTCATCTCTGTTCTGTAAATGAATCTCAGCTCCACATGTTCAACATCAGTCCAGAACACCGAGACACACAAACATCTGATCTGGATCTGATCCCAAACTGCTCTTCCTGCTTCATCAATATTTGGCCTTTTCTTCTGCCGACTCTGAGCCCACTTTTCTTTCCAAACGGCTTCAACATGATGTGAAGAGAACTGAGCATCAATCTTTCATTGATCCAAACTATTAAAGCTGCATTTCTTTGTTCTGAGTGATCAACACATTTGGTTTCTTTCAGCTTTCTTCTTGATCAATACTGGAAATCAATAACTTATTGATCTCATTCTTTCCATCCATGGAAATGATCTCCTGGATTATTCTGGTTTCCTGTTATGACGTCATTTCTGATCACCTGCTGAGCATTTTTACACTGAAATATTGGTCCTTTTATTTTTTAAAGTTACTTTGCTGGGCGCTGGATAAAAAAGCCAAAGCTGCAGGTTGCAAAGAGGTTGGAGAGTTTCTGACTGCATCAGTAATAATTTACAACACATTTGACTGCCATTTTGTTTTCAGAGCTTTGACCTCTGACCTGTAGCTACAGCACTGACCTTTGACCTTGAGCTTCACTTGTTTCTTCATCAGGATGTCTCCCTCCCTGCTGTAGACGGTGCAGGTGTAGGTGTCTCTGTCTTTGTCTGTGGGGTATTTCAGGGTCAGACTGAGGTCTCCAGGTCTCTGCAGGTTTCTCTTCATCTCTGTTCGGTCTCTGTAAAAACTGTGCTGTTCTTCAGGCTGGTCAGAGCCGTTCTCATATACGTGGACCTTCAGGTTGTATCTGTCCCTCCACTCCACTGTGACGCCTTCAGGCAGGTGAGCTGTGGTTTTGCAGGGCAGCAGGACAGACTCCACCTCTGAATCCACCTCCACCTTGTAGACTGAGAGGACAACAAAGCACAACATCAGCTGTACAGACAGCAGCAGGGACTTTTGACTAAGACCAGCAGGAGACTGCACATTAACACTGTGCTTAAGTCCCTTCATTGGCTTCTGATTGGTTTGACTTTTAAAAAATTTTAATCATTACTCAAAGAGCCTTGACAAGCTCCCTGTTACATCCAGGATGTAATTCATGCACACACCTCTGGTCGCTCTCTGAGGTCTTCAGGTCGAGACCTTTTAACTGTTCCCAGAAATAAGTTTTAAGACAAGAGGTGATTGTGATTTCTGTGTGGTGGCTCCAAGGCTTTGGAAGTCTCTCCCTTTAGGTTTGAGAGCCTTGGATTCTGGGGAAACGTTTAGAAAACCATGCTACACACAAAGGTCTTGATGCAGATTAATATCAGCGGGTTCAGTGTAAAAGCAAAGAGCTCTCTCAAGACTTTCACAGCCTTATTGTTGCAGAACATACTAAACTTCCACTAAATGACCAGCTGGTTCTCACAAGGTTTCTGACAGAGTGAAAAGAATTATCAGAAGAGTTGTCCAAGAGCCAAGCACCTGTAATGGGAATTCAAAACATATTGCAGGTGACCCTGGACTCAGGGAGACGAATCTGTGATGGGGCACTGAATCTGTGTAAACGTAACAGTCAAAATATCTCTGTTCTCTGTGTTATCCAGACTTCAGGGACAATGTGTCTCTGTGGGACGATAAAACTGGATAAATGAGTTCTGAGCTCTCCACTGAGCTCTCCTCACTCACTCGAGCATACATGTACACGGCGTATGTGTGTTGCTGTGAGTCCTTCTGCAGAAGACTTGAATAAAATTCACAGAAAGACAAGTGTTTGCCTGAGCTGTTTATTTGACAACCTTGGATTGCCAGTACAGACAACTTGTGGAGAGCTTCAGAAAGACCTGAAACTGGCAGGTACAATTGTTCCAAAGAAAACAATAACAAATGCACTGAGCCATCATGGCCTGTATGCACACTCACCACGCTAGACTCCCCTGCTGAAGAAAAAGCACGTAGCTCATTTTAAGTTTGCTGCACAACATTTGGACAATCAAGTGTGAAATACTGGGAGAATATAGTCTGGTCAGAAGAGAGTAATAATAATAAACACGATGTGTGGAGGACAAACGGCACTGCACATCACCCTAAAAACATCATGGAGTGGGCTGTTTTTCAGTTTAATGTATTGGCAAACTTCATATAATTATACCTGAAGAAAAGATTTACTCAGACATTCTTTATAAAAATCTGCTGCCTTTTACCAGGATGTTGATGATGAAGAAGAATCATCTGAGTTGAATTCAATTGAAAATCCCACCAGAGCAATGCATGGGACTAGTTTCTCCATACAGAAGGCGTCTTGAAGCTCATTACCAACAAAGGCTTTTGTACAAAGTATTAACTATATATTTCAGTAAGCGTCTTTAATACTTTTTCCCTGTGTCATTTCACATTATTACATGTAACTTAATTTCTTTTCTTTTGTTGCATGGATTTCTTGGGTTGTTACAACATCTGGTGAAAAATTCATATCAATAGCACCTTTAGAAACATGTTATCTGAGAAAAATGTTTTACTTATTTTACCATCTGTATAAATACAGTTTATTTACTTACTTACAGTGTTCCATCTAACAGTCTCTACAATCAACAGCACAACTGACTGTTTATTAAATCACTGAGTATTACTGTCAGATGGACTCAATCAAATCTTTATTAAAGTTAGATTAAATAAATGTCTGTTCAGTCACTATCTATCGTCTAATGAGGTAACTGGTCCACTGGCCACTGACTGAGTGCTTCTGACTGTCATGCAAATCCCAGCTGTGTGAGTCCCACAACAAGTGTTGGGCGCTCTTTTGTTTGAGCATTGCTTGTTTGTTTACTTTGCATTATTGTAAAGCATATATGTGCTGACCTCCTTTTGTTCTTTAGTGTTTTTTGAGCAGAGTGACTGTCCTTGGACAAGACTTTTTGTTGTCAGTACCTATATAGCCTCTTTTTGTTGTGTTTTCTTGAGTCAACTTGTTTAATTAAACCTCTGACTTTAACCAGAATTCAGTTGTCCTTTACCACCTTCATTTCAATCCCAAATCACTTGTTACTGCCTTACCTTAACGAACTGGGTCGTAACACCCACTGATCAAAGTACTGCAGTATTTAGATATCTGCAGTATTACCGAGTGAAAAACTGCAGTATTAAGTTGCTGCTAATGCAAAGTGAGCATTTCCTGCTGCTGTAGCTTCACCTTAAAAGCATCTAAGTGCTGAAACACCAGTAGACTTTTATTTTGAACTACACGGTAAAACAAATCCTAATTTAATGGAAAATAACATGCAGAACTTTGTAAAGTGACGGATGCTACCTTGTAAATTAACAATCTAACTATTAGTTTCCGTGAATTATCAATAATGACAAATTATAACATTTATTTCTCATTTTGTTATGGAAAAATTACTTTGTATAAATAATTATTTATACAGTTTGTATCTGTTTTTTTTAAATTACATACAAATGTATGCAAGAAATGACGATAAGAATCTGTAAATAAATTTGTAGCTCATTACAACTTTTTAAGGTAAGTCTTATTAATTGTATATGTGTTCTTTTACACTGAAATACTTAAATGGGCCTTAAAAACTTAAGTGTGGAAATGTATATGGTATATACTGTACTCTGTGTATGTGTGTTTAAATTAACATATTCTGTCTTTTCAAACAAGTCATCTTTTATAGTTGCCATGCTGAAACAGTGTTTCACCATGTTGCTTTGAGCATGATTGGTTAGTCATTCAGGAAACTGGCCAACGACATCTGTGTGCGCCTCTCGCTGGTCAAGTTTGAAAATATGGAATTGGTTGGTTTAGGTGTGTTGCTGCTGCTCCGCACTGTTAGTAATGGCTGTCACCTGGATAATCTGCCTGCCAAATTCTTATCAGGATCAAATTTAAGTTGTGTAATGTCAATGCAGATCAAAAGACAAGAATGGAAGAGGAAGGCTCACACGGGATCTGTTTGGTCAGATTGAACTCATGATGTCAGGTAAGTAAATATTTTCCCTGTAATTTTCTGTAACAACCTAATGTAAAATGGACTGTAACTAACATAGTTTAATACAGTGCATAGTGGATTAAATGATGCTTTAGGCAGATAAATGAATATTTTTTTTCATTGGGTTAACAAAGTTAGTTGAAATTCAAATTTTTTCTTTGTTTTTTTACATATAATTTAGCTGTTAGTGCAAAACCTAACCCCAGAGGGCATATGGCTGTCTATCTTGACATTTTGTTAATTGCATTAGTTGTTACGAACTTGTCAGCCAATCAGAAAAGGTAGAGAGGCGGGATGTAAAGAAACCCTGTAGTGACTTCACAGGATAACACGTGACAGAGACCTGGCCAGCCGTTACACATAAGCAGCCTGAGAGTAACTTATGTCCATAAAGAGTTTTATCCACCGGGTAACGGACATATTGTAGAAGGTGAAAAGCTCTCTCTGTGTGTTTTGTAGTGTTTCATCAAGCTGTAGTGTGATGCTAATCGCTGTTAGCATCTATTTCAATGCAGTATCAGGACTTTACTGTGTGTTGCTAGTATGGAATTAGTGTTGTCAGCAAGTGTAAAGCTCAAACAAACTTGGCATGAGAAGTAAATGAACACTGCACTGAGTGAAGTGACTGAGCAAACTGTCATGTTCACTCATTAGCCAGAGAGGACCAGGTTAGCCTGTAACTCCAGTCACCGTCCCCTCGTCATGCATCGCCCAGTTCATCATTCTTCACTCACAGATGACAACTCAGGATTTGTGAGAAGGTAACCAATGCACATGCTATTTCATTTGGTAGATAGCACTAGCAAGGTACAGACCATTTAAATAGAGTTTCATTAGACATGGTAAAAAACCTACTTTCTAAAGAATTTTGTCAGTAAATCGTTTTGTGTCCTTTCTTTCCTTATTTTTCCCCAGATGCACCAAGGATCCAGCTGATCCAGCTGCAATTTGGAGTAGGATTGTTCTGTATCTGAGTTGCACTGTCACATCTGGCGAAGATTCATTGACCTTTTGTGGTATGTTTTGATTTTACTTATTAATATACTGTATAGATGAATTAAGAAAGTGTAATTGTTTGTCCACATGTTTTATCAGAACTTTATGGAGCCCCCAGATTCAGGAGAGTATTGTGGAAAACGATATAAAAAATATAATCTAAAAAACAAAAGACAGACAAATAACAACCACCTCAACAGCACAATGTGTTGCTTTCTCCATCTGTTTCTAAGGTGAAATCTCACAGACAAGCTAGACACATTGAGAAGTGACACTTTTTCAATTCCTCCTGGAGGCTCTGAAGAACTGCTTGTGGATGATCGGTTAATATTGTTCATATAATTGTTATAGAATCAATGTACTTTATTTGTATTATTTCCAACCCCGCTTTTTTGAAACAGTGACAATAGATGTGTCAACTTATTTTGTATTTGTGAGGATTTTTTCTGTTGAGGATATTTCAAAGTAATCTTAAAGTTTATATTTTATCACAATATGAAGAATCTCTTTTACTGCAGTGGTGCAAGTGCAGTAGTTTAATATTAAATGTTTTAGTTAAGGTTTGTACTGTAATTCTATAAAAACTGAAATGACTTGAAATGAAATGAGAAGCTGATTTTAAAATCTTGAACAATGACTTTTATTGAAGGTGTTAGTTCGTAATAATTCAGGAAAAATCTGTAAAATAACAGTCTTTTCTCTGTAAAACCTTTAATGAAAATATCTGTAAATTTACTGGGCCCTGCCGTTCACAGACTAAAGAAATCTTCATCCCTTCAAAGTGACGAGAAGCTGCTGAGATTTTACTGAGAATCCACAAACAGCTGCTCAGACAAACCAGAGGTCAGGACAGAAACAGCCTTTTTTATAGAGAATGTGAAGATGACGTTGCGCCGTGTTGCATCATGGGTACTCCGACATATTGAAAGGATTGTGCTCGATCCTGCTGTATTTCTGTATGAGCTGGAGGCTGTGTTTTGATTTTCTGTCATGATTCTAAAAAACGTTCAGGGAGGAAACTGGAGACTTTCAGCTTTCCTTCTTGGAAGAAACACGAAGGTTAACTAGAAGACGCGCGTGTTGTGACGATATATGCTGCCCTACCGAAAAATGCTGTGTTCCCATATCCAATCCCATAAAGGTATAACACACAGTACAGGCCAACTCCCAGTATGACGACAACATCTGTTTTCAAGGGCAGCGTATTCTGATTAACTAAACTCCCCGATCAAATAATGCTCCCACTACAGAATCATTTTATATTGCACCACTACTCACTCCATGTGTACTGTAAGGAGATGCATGTTGAAATACTACAACATCTTTATTTAAGATTTCAGGAGTAGCCTATTCAGATAGACTTAACTGTAATTGTATTGGATATTGCTCATGATCAGCCACTGTCTCAACGGTAAGGGTACACAGATTTATGGGCGTGGAAGTGGGTCACGCTTAATGGTCATGTGCATGCAGAACTGCTAAGTAGCACAACTCAATAGGTAGCACACATCGACAGAACACCTGTTCTGCAGCAACAACATTCCTGCATCAGGGATAGTTTGTTCTCTGCATTTCCAGTTTGAGTTCTCTGGTCTCTAACTTTGACTGCCTTTCAGTTTGGTTTTAGATTCAGTAATGTGAAGTTGTTGCATTTAATGAGTAGAAAAAAGTTGAATACCATTGTCTACATTCTACATACTTTGTCATGTTCCCAGCTAACATTACTGTCCTCAGGGACTTGTGGATTTATGGCTCCATTAACGCCGGCGATTATACTATTTCTTAATTTTATTACAGATCAAAACAGTCAAATTTCCTACATTTTAAAATTAATAAGTAGCTAAACTGTAGAAAACGCTCATCCCGTGCACTCTCTCCCTGGACCCCCGTCCGACTAAACTATTCCTGGATTGTGCTCTTTACATTACATTTATTCATTTAAGTTTATCCAAAGCAACTTACAATTGCTATACATGTCAGAGGTTGCATGCCTCTGGAGCAACTTTAATGCCCCACACTACTCTGAAACAGAATTAAAACGAATATGATCTCTGTTTACATCAGCTTTTTAGCTGCATTTTGGAGTTGATCCTTGTCTACATTAAAATGACTGAAAACGCACAGCTAGGGCCCATTCAGGTACACTGGGCATGCGCGTGCCAGTGTAAACATGAAGCAGATAGTCTATTCCATAGTTACAGAAGATTTGGCGAAGGAATAAATAAATACAGACGAAGCATCAGACCAGTGTTTGTTTTTTTTTTTGCATGCACCAATGACGAGCTGGGACTGTTACTGAATGTAACAGGGAGTGTGGTGGCGGTCGTTGCTAAGTAAACGGCAACAAGCACATTACAAGTGTACAAGTATACAAGATATAATATTTTAATAACAATACGATATCAAAAACCTGGTCAGTAGCATCGTGTTTCTTCTTTGCAAGACCCAATCAGAGAGCCGAGTGTGAGTAACCGCGTCATCGTTTCTAGGTCCTCCGTTTTGGCCCGTCTTCACTAAAACACCCTCTGAAGTTTTGAAATGCAAAACGGGGTCGGCAGTGTTTCCAAACTTCTCCGTTTTAGGTCTTCGTCGTTATAGTCTGGACGGGAGGTGCAAACTTAGCAGAAGGTCTCCGTTTTAATTCGAAAACACAGTAGTGTGGACGGGGCCTAAGTGTCTTGCTCAGGGACATAACTGTGGATGGGTCACAGTGGGGGATTGAACCCGGGTCTCTCACACCGAAGTCATAGTCTTATTCATTGTGCCATTTGCTGTTAATTACTATGAAGTTTCGAAGCTCAAAAAATGAAATTCGGGCTAGCCCTAATATTAAGAACTTGAGAAGAGCGGCTGTGGAGAATGGAAAACTTTTGTTTCCTTGTGACTTCAGTATCACTGAAACACATGTGGGACTATTTTCTACATCTACAGGTTCCACTGTCACAGGTGTTCAGCTGTTCTGCTCCAATTACACCTTCATATGCTGTAGTGTGACATACCTGACATGAAATAGTGCCGGAAATGTACCAGAAGACCCCCAGCAACAAGACCAACAACCAGGAGAACCAGGAGAACCAGGAGAACTTTGGCCCAGGATGGAAATCGTTCTGTGGGAACCAGAAACATCAAGAACATGACCTCTGACCTCTGACCTGTATCTACAGCAGGTGTTAGGGTTTGTTGCTGACCTTTGACCTGCAGCTGTATCTCTCTCACTCTCCGTTGTCGTCCTAACCATCTGACGGTGCAGGTGTAGCTGCCGCTGTCAGAGAGCTGGAGTTTTGTCAGGTTGAGGCTGAGGTCTCCAGTTTCCAGAGCGTCAGTCATCATGGATGTTCGGCCGCTGTAAAGCTGGTTTTGGTCTTTAAGTTCATCACCTTCCTGCTGACGCTGGTGGACGGTTGGAGGATTGAGATCGTAGCGGATCCACACCACTGTGGGGTCTTTCAGGTCAAAGGTGTGATACTCACAGGGCAGCAGGACAAACTCCTCCCCCTCATACAGCTCCACAGATAAGGCATGCTGGGAAACTGTGAGGTCACACAGACAGAGAGGTTCAATCACAGCATCACTGACCTCTGACCTATATCTACAGCAGGTGTTAATGTGTTGCTGACCTTTGACCTTCAACTGTATGTTTCTCACTCTCCGTTGTCTCTTTTGTCCTCCTAACTCTCTGACGGTGCAGGTGTAACTGCCGTTGTCAGAGAGCTGGAGTTTCGTCAGAGTGAGGCTGAGGTCTCCAGTTTCCAGAGCGTCAGTCATCATGGATGTTCGGCCGCTGTAAAGCTGGTTTTGGTCTTTAAGTTCATCACCTTCCTGCTGACGCTGGTGGACGGTTGGAGGATTGAGATCGTAGCGGCTCCACACCACTGTGGGGTTGTCCATGTCAAAAGTCTGATACCCACAGGGCAGCAGGACAAACTCCTCCCCCTCAAACAGCTCCACAGCTAAGGCATGGTGGGAAACTTTGAGGTCACACAGACAGAGAGGTTGAATCATATTTCATGTCTTATTCTATGGGGGTAAATCAATCACATTCGCAATTATTAATTTTATTTATCCCAAAGCGACTTCACACACTTCAGAGGTCGCACGCCTCTGGAGCAACTAGGGGTTAAGCGTCTTGCTCAGGTACACAATGGTCGATGGGTCACAGTGGGAATTGAACCCGGGTCTCTCACAACAAAGGTGTCTTATAAACTGTGCCGTCACCACCACCATGTCAATCTAATTCAATGAAAATGTAGAGTCACACATAGATATAAAAATTTGCTAAACACAAATTACAATCTACAATTATATTCAAAATCCACAAACAAACTCTTCATGATCCACAAATAGGAATCATCAACTTGTGTATGTAACAAAACCAAAAAATTATTTTTACTGTTTTACCAATTTCTACGAACTCTTAACTATTTGCAAGATAACATGAATACAAATTAAATTACCTTACATTTATTCATTTAGCTGACGCTTTTATCCAAAGCTACTTACAATTGCTATACATGTCAGAGGTCGCACGCCTCTAGAGCAATTAGGGGTTAAGTGTCTTGCTCAGGGACACAATGGTGGATGTGTCACAATGGGGGATTGAACCCGGGTCTCTCACACCAAAGGCATAGTCACACTGTTGTATTATGATGATTAGTCATTCAGCTGACGCTTTTATAAAAAAAGACTTAAAATTGCAATAGCATAGCATATAGTTGGGAGCATGAAATTGTCCAAATTGTCTTGGTATGTTGGAGCATTAACAATTCCTTTCACTGGAATTAAAGGGCCTAGCCCAACCCGAGACAAAACCCCACATCATAATCCCCCATGAAGGCCACACAACATTTGGAGGTCTGTAGCTGCTGACTCCGCAGAAAGTTAGGGACTTTTTGGGTTGGTGTGCCTCAGCATCCGCTGACCCTGCTGTGTGATTTTATGAGGCCTACCACTTGTGGCAGAGTTTCAGTTGTTCCCATCACTTCCACTTTGTTATAATACCACTAACAGATTACCGTGGAATATTTAGTAGTGAGGAAATTTCACGAATGGACTTGCACAGTTGGTAACCTATCACCGTACAACACTTGAATTCACTAAGCTCCTGAGAGCGACCCATTCTTTTACAAATGTTTGTAGAAGCAGTCAGGATGACTACATGCTTGATTTTACACACCTTTGGACATAGAAGTGATTGGAACACCGGAATTCAGTGATTCGAAGGGGTGTCCCAATACATTTGGCCTCTGGAGCAACTACGAGTTCAATGTCTTGCCCAGGGACACGTTGTATCCAGCGTTTTCTGGCATTTTATCACGTTTTCATGTTTTGTTGAGATGCTAATGTCAACACTGTTCCAGCTAGTATGCCTCTAGCTCATGTTGGAATTTTAAGGTCACGTAAACAGACTCTGTTATGACTGGAACAACCATTTGCCCCAAACTCAAGTAGGGTTTCCTAGCTATTGGAGCTGAGTGTCTCTGGTTTCACCAAGAACCATTGCAGGTTTCCCTCCTGACTTATCAAATACCTCTGGATTTCCTTTGAGAACACAGGCGGAAGTGGATAGTGAAGTGAAGGAAAAGAGGGTCTGTTTCTCAATACAGAATTTACCAAGTTTGGACTCCTGTACTTCAAAAATGGGACTTGGCAAGTCCGGCTTGGGAGTACAAACTTCCAGAAACGGGAGCACGCAGTCCGTCATCCAGTAATTGGAAAGACAGCCGGACCCGTTAGTGGGCAGGACCTCACATCTCCGAAAAGTTTGTAGCAAATTTTCAAATCAGCTCTGTCTTTAGAAATCAACCACACATTTGGAGTTTAAACAACTATATTACCGCATAAAAAAATACTGCACTCTGTGACAGAATAACAGCAGTATTGTAACTTACAGTTGCTAGACTTCTCCTCAACCATTTCTGCTTGTTAGTGCAAAATGCATTCTGGGATACTTGGCTATCCGAAGTCCACACAAGTCACCACCCAATGCAGGCTCGGTATAACGGGCAGAGCAAGAACACATCCAGATATTTGACTGAATTGTTGGGCAAGTAAGTTTGCAGCAGTGAGTTAATATTTTACTCTATTTTCTTACTCTTGATGTGCTATCACTTTGCACTTCACTGAGCATTCCACTAGAATCTGGCTGAGCGAGCTCAAACAACTGGGTGTGTTGTCCCTCCTTCTGAAACCAACCTTTTGTCTTTGTAATTTGGAGGGCGATCTCAGCTGGGTGCAATCAGTCTTAATGCACAACACCTGTATGCAATTAGACTCATACTACTTCTATGAAACCTATAAACTGAAGCATTAGCATAAGCGTCGGCTCCCTGTGTGAAGACCTACTTGGGTGAAGACCTGCGAGTCTACCTGCGCGAGTCTACTTGGGTAAAGACCAACGAGTCTACCTGTGTGACCTAGAACCATGTCATTCTATAATGACAGAATTAGCAGTGCCATTGACTCAAGGAAATTATTTTCCACTTTCAAAGCACTACTAAATCCTCCTCCACCTCCACCACCCACAGACTTGTCTGCTGATACCTTTGTGATGGCTATAACAAGCCAATTCTCTAAATCACTCAAAATCAACCATTCTATTCCTGGCCTGGTCAGCACCCACTGTGTGAACAGGGCACCGGAAAACGGGAAATGGTGCAAAAGGCTCAACCCAAGGCTAACATGTAGCAGTCCTATACATCTTTTCCTCTGGCACTTTACTATCCTCGTTTACTCTTCTCACGGAGAGCGAAGTATCAGAACTCCTGACCCATAGCCGTCCAACTACATGCCCACTGGACCCGATTCCTTCGAATCTCCTCCAAGCCATATCTAACCGGCAATCACTCATGTGATAAATACTTGTCTGGCTTCAGGAACTTTCCCAACCACTTTCAAAAGGGCTCTCGTTACACCCTTGCTTAAAAAGCCCTCACTCGACCCAACTCAAGTTGAGAACTATCGGCCAGTTTCTCTTCTACCATTTTTATCCAAAACTATCGAACGGGCAGTCTTCATACAGGTCTCAAAATTCCTTTCATGGAAGGACCTCCTAGATCCATATCAGTCTGGTTTTAAGAGTGCCCACTCTACTGAAACAGTTCTTTTGTCTGTAACAGAAGCCCTAAGGTCAGCTTAAGCTACAGCCCAATCCTCAGTTCTTATCCTGCTTGACCCATCAGCTGCCTTTCATACCGTCAATCACAGGATCCTGCTATCTGCACTCTCATCAATGGACATCTCGAGTAAAGTACTCCTGTGGTTTGAATCCAACATCTCGGGGCGTTCCTACAATGTTTTGAGGCAAGGACAATTATCCTCCTCCCACTGCCTCTCCACAGGGGTGCCCCAAGGCTCAGTGCTAGGGCCCCTTCTCTTCTCAATTTACACCACCTCACTGGGGCCAATCATTCACTCGCACGGCTTCTTTTATCACTGCTACGCAGATGATACGCAGCTCTACCTATCCTTCCCGCCAGACGACTCCACAGTCTCGGCGTAGATCACGGACTGTCTCTCAGACATATGTGCATGGATGAAGGCTTGCCACCTTCAGCTAAACCTCTATAAGACTGAACTCTTGGTCATTTCAGCCAAGCAATTTATCCACCATAACATTAAACTACAAATTGACTCCTCAACCATCACTCCAACCAGGGTGGTGAGAAACTTGGGTGTCCATTTCAGACCATGTTGCTGCTGTCTCTCAACCGTGCCGCTTTGCTCTATACAACATCAGAAAAATAAGGCCCTACCTCACTAAGTATACCACCCAGCTTCTGGTACAGGCCATGGTTATCACTAGCCTTGACTATTACAGACTTCCAGCTTGTGCAGTGAAACCCCTACAAATGGTTCAGAATGCAGCATCTGGTTTTTGATCAGCCCAAAAGGACTCATGTCACTCCATTACTCAGTGACCTCCACTGACTCCCTATGGCCTCCAGAATCAGATTCAAGTCACTAATGCTTGTATACAGAGTGACTTACTGACTACCTAAACTCCATAATAAAAGTTTACGTTCCTTCTTGGCCACTATGCTTGTCCAACGAACGCCGCCTGGCTGTGCCATTGCTTCACACAAAGCAATCCCAGTCCCGGCTGTTCTTATCTGTGACACCACGATGGTGGAACGAGCTACCACACGCCATCAGAGCAGGGGCGTCCTTCTCTAATTTCAAGAAGCTCTTGAAAACTCATCTCTTCCGAGAACACTTCTTCTTATAACACCTCTAACTCCTAACCTCCTAACTACAGTGCCTTGCGAAAGTATTCGGCCCCCTTGAACTTTTCGACCTTTTGCCACATTTCAGGCTTCAAACATAAAGATATAAAACTGTAATTTTTTGTGAAGAATCAACAACAAGTGGGACACAATTATGAAGTGGAACAAAATTTATTGGATATTTCAAACCTTTTTAACAAATAAAAAACTGAAAAATTGGGCGTGCAAAATTATTCAGCCCCTTTACTTTCAGTGCAGCAAACTCTCTCCAGAAGTGGTCTGGTCCTGCTTTTCTTCAGCAGGGACAGGGAAGATGGCTAAAATTGATGGGAAGATGGATGGAGCCAAATACAGGACCATTCTGGAAGAAAACCTGATGGAGTCTGCAAAAGACCTGAGACTGGGACAGAGATCCAGAACATAAAGCAAAATCTACACTGGAATGGTTCACAAATAAACATATCCAGGTGTTAGAATGGCCAAGTCAAAGTCCAGACCTGAATCCAATCCAGAATCTGTGGAAAGAACTGAAAACTGCTGTTCACAAACGCTCTCCATCCAACCTCACTGAGCTCGAGCTGTTTTGCAAGGAGGAATGGGCAAAAATTTCAGTCTCTCGATGTGCAAAACTGATAGAGACGTACTTCAAGCGACTTACAGCTGTAATCGCAACAAAAGGTGGCGCTATAAAGTATTAACTTAAGGGGGCTGAATAATTTTGCACGCCAAATTTTTCAGTTTTTTAT